AAGGAAAAAGGAATTGGGAAAAAGAGCCAGAAATGAACTCAGGACAGAGGGAGAGAAAGCCTCCGGATGGCTTGTGTGATACCTGCCGGTGCCTAAAAGCCCCACCCAGCCCTGTGGTTTTCTGGGCACTGCAGCAAGGCCAGGGAAGGGGCGGGGAGAGCAGGTGCCACTGAGGCCCTGGGAACACCACGCTGAAGCCTGGCTGCATCCCGTGCACTCTCTGTGAATCAGACAGCTACAAATAAAGACTCCTGGCAGCTCTTGCACATCAGCTGAGAGCAGGTCGTCCTGTAAGCAAGGCTGCTTTGGGAGTGATGTATGGAGCTCCTGTGGGCCGTGACTGTTCCAAAACAGAGACTCAGGTCAGGTCCAGGGCCCTTTTCCTATTTAGGATGCAACCAGATCCTGGGAGCTCTTGCCTTTTGGTATGCACGAGGCTGTAATTGGCCTCCTGGTGACCTGAGATCAGCCTGTCCCGACTTAGAGACAATCAGTCTTGGAACTGATTCCAGGTCTTTCATTACACTTTTAGCTGGGAAGTCCCGGCTTGGTAGTCACGCCTACAAAGCATGATGTGGACAGCAGGTGGATAGCTATCCTGGCAAGGCCGACTATGCCTTACCTTCTCAGGCCAACTCCTGCCAGCCTTATGTTTGTTTGCTTGTTTAGAGTTACAGTCTCCATATTTTACACAGGCACTCGCGGCCCAGGCAATCCTATTGCCTCAACCTAAGTGTCTGGCAAGCTTTGAAACATTTTAAATGCCAGTGTTGAGACTGTACCTGCTGCTGGTAATTTTCGTTCCTTGTCTCTTGGAGCTCCTTCCCCCTCCCGTGTTGATGGGAGGGGACGTTCTAGTCTAGCGGTGATGTCACGATCACCACACACAAAGGCCTCTACCATTCTTTGTTCCCTGCGTCTGTCTTCACCATCTGTCTGTCTGATAGCTCCTTGGTCAGGACAGAGAGTCAAGGATGCTGATCTCCTTGATTCATTACATTGTTCCTGCTCAGGCTCTTTAAGGTTGCGGGTTGGAAATGTGTATCATACTTTGGCACTCTGAGAGTGTTGGGTGCCTACCAAGTACACTCTGAACGTTATCTTCCCTTTGGGAAAACTGAGCCTCTAGCTCTGGTGAGCTAGAGCTCTGTCGGTGGCACTGGGCAGAGACAGCACTATTCTCTCGTCTTTTTGTTTCTGGGTGGGTGGATGAATTGGTTGATTTTGAGGCAGGGTCTCTAGCCCAGGCCAGCCTGATGTCCCTATGCAACCAAGAATTACCTTGAATTTTTAGTTTGCTACCACACATGAATGCTAAGCAAGCACCTTCCAGCTGAGCTCATTCCCAGTCTTTTACTTTCCCTACTTCATTTTTTGTTTGTTGTTTTGTTTTGAGGAAGGGTCTCACTATGTAGTCCTGGCTGGCCTTGAACTCACAGCGTTCTGCCTGCCTCTGCTTCCCAAGTGCTGGGATTAAAGGCATGTGCTTCGCCTTCATTTTCGTTTGTTGCTTTTGCCTTTGAGACAGGGTCTTGCTTTGTAGCCCAAGCTCATCTCACGGCTCCTGCCTTGGCCTCCTGAAGGCTGGGATTATAATTGCAAGCCTCAGAGTCAGCCTTATTTTTGCAAAATCTCCAGCAAGGTACTTAAAGTTAGGAGAGCTTTCTTCCTCTAGCACCCGGTCTGCTTCTTGTTGTACATTTCTCCTTCCAGAGCCTCAGGGTCTGGGCTTAGACTGCCAAATTCTGATGTTGGATGATCCGTTGGTCTTCAGTTTGGAGACTTCCAAGAGAAATAAACCAAGCAGAGAGCAGAATGCCTGCCACTCCAGGCTCTGGCTTCTCTGTTTTAAGACATTTTCTCGTATAAAGAACCACAGGGGATCAGTATGTGAAAGGGAGAGGTGCCTAGGACTCTGTAAGTGCCTTCTCTTTGTGTTAAAGTCCAGGGACAGCACTTGAATTACTGTTGTCCTCCTGAAGTGTTTAGTCCCACTACCACAGACTGTGTGACCTCAGGCACCTAGCTGTCTGTAGACTTCTGTTACCAAGTTTAGAAAGCATAATGCCAGCCTGGCAGTGGGTATTCTAAAGCTGGTTGACTACATCGTCCTTCAGCAGACCTTCCCTGAATACCTAGGAAATGACACCGCTTCCTTAGGAACTCTCATGGCCCCACGAGCATGTGTCTGTTGTCGTACTCGATAACGTATGCCTGACATGCTGTCTGCAAGTGTTTGTAAGAATGGGAAGGGTTGTCGTCTGTTCCCAAGGCTGAACAGAGTTCCCAGCGCACCACACACCCGACTTTGCTTCTCTGGTTGGTGTGTTTCCGCATGGGCGTCTGCTCACTGCACCTCGAACTTGCTGGGGTTAGAACCGGTGTTTGCCGCTGTGATAGTTTCTCTTCCCATCTAGGAGAAATAGTGGTGTTGCTCCATATTAGTTCCTGGGAAGCTATTCTTCCAGAAGTGCACTTGACTTTTGTTTGTTCTCTAAGTTTCCATGTAAGAGTGGATGTCAGGCTCATGCTGAGAAAGAATGCCTCTGTGTGTGGTCAGGGAGTCCTCGGCTTGCTCATGTTTATCGGTACTGAGCTGGGGAGGGTCGATGAAGAGGGATGGATGAAGCAGTACCTGGACACCTGTGCCCTCCTGAGGCCTGGGCAGCCAGCTTTGCTCTGGAGAATGAGGAGGATCTACTTGCTTGGCCACCTGCCCATCTCTTGTAGTCTGTGCTCTTAGCTCCCAGACTCCTGCATCCAGCTGTGGGTGTAGCTTGTACTTCCAAGGCTGTGAACCTAGTGTTGAAAAACGGAGCAGGGTATTTAAAGTAATACTCCAGAGGGTGAGAGAACGAGGAGAGGTAAACCCAAGGATGTGTGGTCAGATCCCATCAGAGCACTCTTGCCTGGGTTAACAGACTTAGTGTCAGATCTTGCTTTTCAGTAAGGATTCTCTAGTCACCTCTTCTTTGTTACTTTTTATCTTAAAGCACAAGTGTGTGTGCACTTAGGCCAGGGCTGCGACCTCCTCCTGTCTGTCTATGAGGTGACTGAGTTTATGGTCTAGAGTAAACGGGTATCAACTCCTGTGTGTGTATCAACCACAGGGATGCATGAATGCTACCAGCCATCAGGTATGTGCCTTCACCCGTATTTGCTGAGTGCTGTCTTACGGGAGAAGAAGAAGGTAACTGATGGGCACCCTCTCATCCATACCAGCCCTGAGAGGCAGGCATCATCCTGTCCACAGGCCAGGGTAGGAATTGAGAAGATTGCAGGTTGTTTTCTAAGATCTGTCTGCCATGTTCACCACTCCAGAGGTGGTGGGACCTGGAAGAATGCAGCCTAAAAATGAGGTAGAATAAAGTCTCATGTAATAGCCAACTTTATCCAGAGCACCAGACAGTGTATATATTCTGAGGGTTAAGAAAAACCATGAGTGAGTTCTCATGAGTTCAAGCTGTGTACGATATCAAGGACAAGCTGCACATGGCAAAAACATATTTTTGTATAGAAGCCCCTAAACAAACACCAGGAGCCAGTTGTGATGAATACCCTGAAGTAAACTCACTCCTATCTACTGCATTTTGGAGGAGCATGAAAGCATGTTAAGAACAATTCCTGATTTGAAGAAATTGAGGTTCTGAGACTCTTGGCTTCTTTCTTGGCATTTTCTCACAAGCATTCAGAGTTGTTCTCACACTACTCCATTCTCGGACCGTGTTCCGACACTGCCCATTGCTGGTGGAGTCAGGGTCTAACCTGGGTTCATCTGAATGTACCTGTGTGGTGTCATGACACAGCAGGTACACTGCTCTGAGCAGAACTGGCGCAGTGAAGTGTGCCAGAGAGGACCAGGGCGGTAAGAAAGGATGCAGAGCACTGCTGTGGGTTGAGGGAGACTAAAGAAACATGGACACAGCCAGGTGGTGGCGATGCACGCCTTTAATCCCAGCACTTGGGAGGCAGAGGTGGGTGGATCTCAGTGTGTTTGAGGCCAACCTGGTGTGCAAAGTGAATTCCAGGACAGCCAGGACTGTTACACAGAGAAATCTTGTCTCAAAAAAAAAAAAAAAAAAATCAAAAACAAAAACAAAAAAAAGGAAGAAAGAAACATGGATGCTTTGTTTTAAGTTTAGAAACACTGTGAGTCTACAGTGTTACTCAAGAATACTGAAAAACAGATATGCCATAGGAATGGTAAAATTCAAAAAAGTATCTTCTAGTGACCCCTGTCATTCTAACCGACAAGCAAAGATCATTGACAGAGCTCAGGTCCCTGAGTGCAAGAATGACTGGGGGCAAGTGCTGAGTAATTTCTGAGTCTCACCTCATAGCTGACTGTTTACAGGAAAGTGTAATTGTTTTGGCTGAGCCATCTCTCCAGCCCGGAAAAGTGTAATTGTATGCTGGCATGGTAAGTGACACCTGCCTCATACTGACATGCCTGGCTCCATTCTCCACTGAACAGCCATGTAGGAGGCTCAGCACCACCTCTGTGACATGCTTTGTCCTACAAAATATTTACCAGACGCATGGCGACAGGACACAGGCAGACACCATGCAATCTGCAGGTCTTCAATACACCGCAGCAGGTGCTGCTGGATTTCAGTTCATCTCGGTGTGGGCCACTAGAAGTCACACCCTCTCTGTGGGTGTCTTAGTCCCTGATGATGAGAGACTGCCTGAAGGCCCTGCACAGACCCTTCACCCCCAACCCAGTCACCATCACCTGTTAAAAGGTGCCTTTCTGTCTTGGCTTGACCAGGAGCAGGTGAGGATGTGTGGTCTCTGTGCCTCCTACTTAGGGAAGTGTTGCCCATACCTACCAGTGTCATTCCCTGCCCTCAGGCCAATCCAGCGTCCAGTCGCCCATGTTCTGACTTCCCAGAGAACTATGTTTGTTTTCCTGAGAAATGAGTTATGGCTGTCCCAGTGGTCAATATTCCCTTTCATCCAACACCAGCGCCCATCATCATCCTTTGCTTTTCCCAAAGGTTCCAGCATGAATGGCCTGGAGGAGCCCAGCATCGCCAAGAGGCTGAGGGGGACCCCTGAGAGGATCGAGCTGGAGAACTACCGCCGATCTGTGAGACAGGTGGAGGAGCTGGAGGAGGTGCCTGAGGAAACGCAGGCGGAGCATAACCTGAGCAGCGTGTTAGACAAGGGCACGGAAGAGGATGTGGCCAGCAGGTCAGCCCATCCCACAGTTTGCCTGGCTATCGGGTCCCTGGGGCAGTGGCCTTACTGGGTCCCCAGATTCAGCTGGCAGCAAAAGAGTTTGATGAGCAAAGGAATTTGAACCAGTTTGGTTGGGTTGGATTCTTGATTCTTCTGCTTCTCGGCTGTGAAGTAGGCACATCTCTTGGTTCCCTCGTCTATAACGTAACACCGTTGGTATCGTCCTCAAATTGGTGTGAAGGTTCAGGAATAGATAGGAACACCAGGTTTAAAACATTCCTTAGCATCTCTAAGCATTTGGAGTTTCCTCTGTGTGCTGCTGTATGTGTTCGTGAGAATCCGAGGACTAGGTGTGAGCCCTGAGTTTTATCCCCTTGTAGGGAGGAAACTGGTGATAAATTTGACAGGACCTGAAATTCCAACTCAGACTTCCTGTTTTTCCTGCCACCCTGTGATTCATTCTCCCTACACCATCAAGTCCTGCCTCTAAATCAAGGTCAGCCGTCATTACCGTATGACCCTGTAAGTCTAGAGCAATGTAGGTAGCCTTCACTAGATGGAGCGGACCTGGAAAGGGTCACAATCTGTAAGATTTCCTGAGTGCAGCCCACTTCCCCAGCACTTTGTGACTCATGGGAAAGGTAAGTCCCACTTGTGATCTACCACTTGTTGCTTATAACTCCCCATGGGAGGGGAAAGATGGTCACAGGAAGGAAAGCAAGCTGAAGACAGCATGCGTCCGTGGAGCAGACACTTCCAGAGATGATACCAGTTTGAAGCAGAGGTGACTCGGCCACTGGTTACTCGGCAGCCTCTCTGGGTCTCCTATGGCTAAAGAGGGGCAGAGACCTTGCATGCCAGGGGCCACACACAGGAGGCATCTGGTTTCTCCAGTCAGGGTCGGTTCTGTTTAGCTGACCCAGCATGCATCCTCTTACCCAGCAGTTGTACCCGTGTGTGATGCTCTCGTGGCTCTCCTGTCAGTAGAGGCAGGTGTGGGAGAGGACAGGATGACAAAGAGGGCCAGAGTCCACGCAGACCAGACTATCACGGGACTCCCTTGCCAGAGCTGAGGCTCCAGAACAAGAACCTTGACTTAGAGGCGATGAGCAGATGTATGGTGATAGAAAAGGCAGCCTTTCTTTAAAGGTCCAAGAATGTCTCTCAGAGTGCACTTCTGAGCAGAGCTGCTTTCGGCTGCGTCCCAGCAGAAAGATCCCGGGCGGGCCCTGTGATGAAGCGATCTGAGGCGGGCACCTTGATGAAGTGCCCCTCGGACTGGCCCCACAAACAGCTCCCTGGCATACTCGAGACAGCCCCCTTGTAGGTGCAGTGCCAGAGCCTTCTCTGACCTCAGGCCACTGTCACATAACTGCAGTGCATCCAAAGTGTGTGTGGGGACAACCCTACACTCCTGTCCTCAGGTGGAGGAGAGTCATCTGCTCTCATTGCCAGCCCCAGTTCTGCCAAGCTCAATAATAGCCCCTTATCAGAGCAGGTGGCTTAACCTTGGGATGAGTCGGGGTCAAATATGAAGTTAGCATCTATCTAAAACAAAATGCCCACTTGGCTGGCGGTGGTGACTCATGCCTTTGATCCCAGCACTCTCTGGAGGTAGAGGCAGGGGGATCTCTGAGTTTGAGACCAGCCTGCTCTCCAAGAGCTAGTTCCAGGACAGGCTCCAAAGCCACAGACAAACTCTGTCTTGAAAAAAAGAAAAAAGAAAAAGAAAATGCCCGTTGAAATTCTATTAAGGTTGGAAACAGAAACACAGGCTCTTAAGTATGGCGTGAGTCAGTGGTAAACACATTTATTTAACTTGCAAGTTCAAAAGGTGGGTTCTCTCCTTGGCACTGCGAAAATAAGTGGAAGGTCTTTTATAAAAATGGGGAAAAATAGTAAAAAAAAAAAAAAAAAAACCCCACATCAAATGCTTCATAAAGTGGGGGGGTCTCAGAGCAAGAGTTATGGATTTTGCCTCACTCCCCTAGGAAGTAGTAAGGTGCCTATAACAGATGTGCTGTACCCATCTTCCCTGTCGAACCAAGTTCGGTCAGATGCATTTGCAGCCTTCAGCCTTCTTAGTGAGGGGCTAGCCCGGAAGATGAGAACAGACACACTTAGAAGATTCACCTTGTCCAAGCTGTACATATCGGTTCATGCCTGTAATTCCAGAGGCAGGGAGATCAAGCCTGTATTTCAAGACCTTGACTTAAGAAGGGAAGGAAGAGTGAGTGAGTGAGTGAGTGAGTGAGTGAGTGAGTGAGTGCGTGCGTGCGTGCGTGCGTGCGTGCGTGCGTGTGTGCGTGCATTTCCCAGTCCAGCCCAGGAGCATGTTCTCTCCCAGTTCAGAGAACTTGGCTAAGCCATCTCTGGTGGGTGGTACGTTGTGATATTTTAGATCATGGCTGTGATCTGGACTTGAAGTCCAGACCCACTAACGGTAAGCAAATCACTTATGCTGTGTGCCTCGGTTTCCCCACATTCATCGTGTGTCATGAATCTATCATGAACAGTTACATAAATGAATGCCAGGCACCTGGTGGTCACCAAGTTAGTGTCAGCAGTAGCTGTCACTACATCCCACTACAGCGAAGCAACCCTCTCTAGTGAAGAAAGCCAGGGATGCTGGTGGTTTCCTTCACCAGGTGGGTTGAGAGCCAGAACCTGATTGGCTCAAGTTTACTCTGCCCTGGACACTGCTCATCTGCATCTCTGTTTCATAGCTACTTGTGTAGCAGATGGCTGGACTGAGGGGCCATTCTGCTGTTCTGGGGTAATGCCTGAGAACCTTCCTTTTAACAGTAAGGCTGGTGTCAAGGGACATGCTTTGGAAACTGGTCTGCAGAGTCAGCTGACATCCTGGGAGATTTTTATAATCACCTCTATGGTTTAGTTCACACAGTGCTGCAGGTCCTAAACAGTGTCACAGACCCTTGACAAAGCCTCATCATCTTTTTAACTTCTTGCAGACTTCTGGAAATCTCCAGGAGGCACTTTCACTCGTGTGTGTGTGTGTGTGTGTGTGTGTGTGTGTGTGTGTGTGTGTGTGTGTGTTTGCGGGGGTAGGTACCCATAGGCCAGGAGAACTAATCCATGTCTAGGAAGGTGACTTGGGTACAGCCCAACTGCCGTGTCCCTCATTGCCTCCTCTCCATTACTTCTAAAGACTACACAGGCTGGAGAGATGGCTCAATGGTTAAGAGCACATGTTGCTCCTGCAGAAGACCCAAGTTCAATTCCCAGCACCCACATGGTGGCTCACAGGCTTCTGTAACTCCATTTCCAGGAGATCTGGTGCCCTCTTCTGATCTCTGAAGGCACCAGGCATGCATGTGGTATACAGACACACAAAACACCCATACACATTAAAAACTGATAAATCTAAAAAAAAAATTTAAAGAACAAAGCCAGCCGGCGAGCCCCTGAAACAAACAAGTAACTCTTGCAGAGCAAACAGAGTTTCAGAGGACTCCCCAGAGTTGATGGCACAGGCGGAGGAACAAGAGGAAAAGCCACTCTCCAAGCAGACCATGACTAAACAGGAGTCCCTCTCTGCCCTTTTCTTCCGGCTCCAGCCCCTTTTCCAACAGAGGCAGTAAGGAATGCCAACCCTGGCTGATACGCATGCGCGGTTTCCACAGGGTGAATGTAGAGAACAATGTGTGCCTTCTTCAGCCCCTGCTTGGCAGCAGAGTGTTGCCAGGGTCAGTGAGACCCAGGGGTGTGGCAGAGCAGACTGGGGTCACTGACTAGATAGAAGCTTGACCTAAGAGTCAAAGCCATTTGTTTCCTGTTTCCCTCCGACTGATAGTCGCAATGGGAAGGCGCTGAGGATGTCGTTCAGTTGGTGGAGTGCTTGCCTAACATACACAGAGCCCTGGATTTAATCCCAGGACTGCATGTGGTTCTGTGGGAGGTGGAGGCAGAAGGATGGGAAGTTCACGGCCATCCTTGCTACATAGCAAATTTGAGGTCAACCTGCATGACATGAGGTCCAGAAGAAGGAAAGAGAAAGGAGGGAGAGAGTTTGACATAGAACTCCGTAAGATCCATCTCAGAGCCCTGTCTCTGGACCAGATTTTTAGGAATGCCACCCTGGCAGCTGCTGATAGGGAATCACTGTTGATTTCTGGGAGAAGCACTGAAGAACCTGGACACACGGCTAGAAATCCTGATTCCCTTATGTCTTGGTTAGGCACGATCCACTGTAAGAATAGCTGTGCAGAAGGGTGGTCATGTGGCTAAAGGGTGCCTGAGAAATGAAGGAATGCTGACAGACAAGTGCCCTGTGCTTCAGGGATTGAACCCACGGCTCATGCATGCTAGGCACACTCCTGAATCATGCACCCAGTCCTCAAAAAGACATTCTTAATTTTAGTTAGGGTCTCACTCAGTTGCCTGGGCCATTTAAATTCACTGTGTAACCCAGACAGGCCTTGAACCTGTTACTCTCCTACTTCAGCCTCCCACCCATTTCCCAGGCCCAGCTGGGAAGGTGATGATTAGCCATCCTGGTTCCTGTCTCTCTTAGGAGACTGTATCAGGGTCCATGATGCTGCGGGTTCTCCAGCCTCACCAGGCTAAGACCTAAGGTTCAGATGCCTGAATCAACAGGGGGATCTAAAGTGCACGTTGGGGCAGAGGGTATGGCTCAATGGTACAGTGCTTGCCAGACATACATGCGGTCCTGGATTTACGCCTTGACTTTTGTGTGTTGTAAGAGCTGGGCAACCCTCACATTGACCCCAATGTCCTATGATTGCTGGAAGGAAGCTTCTACCTGCTCCTGTGGGTTTCTCACTGTCCTCCCAGCAATTAGGGAGGCTGCTTTGCAGGAGCAAATAGAAATGCCTCTTACAAATGCTTATGCTCACAGCTGATAGAGGGACATGGGGACTGACCTTTCTGCTCCCATTGTCACACTCACAATCCCTAAGCTGTCATAAAACTAGCTGAAGTGGCACTAATAGTCGTCATGGGACGTCATTGTCATCATCACAGAGAGATGTATTCATCTCCCAAATTATGCCCAGTACAGCTAATAGCGTGGCATGGGTGATGTCAGGCTGTACTCAGGCCCTGGGAAGCCAGGCACAGCCCCTCCCAGCCCCTAGAGAAGCCACTGGGCACACTGAGCCATGGTGGAGGGACAGAAAATTTAAGATGAGTGCAGAAGTCTCCGTGTCTTTACTTACAGATATGAATGGTGAATGGCACTCGCAGCATACTTCATCAACAAGAAAGTAAACTAGTGAAAACACCTAAGTGGAGAAAGACGGGGCAGTGGAAATAATGGTGGGCGGTGCTTAGAACTCAGGGCCGCTTTCCATCATTTAGTTTCCCTCTTGTGGTTTGTTCATTTGCTTGGTTCGTGTGTGTGTGTGTGTGTGTGTGTGTGTGTGTGTGTGTGTGTGTGTGTACGCGCATGCGCGTTTGTTCATTTGCTTGGTTCGTGTGTGTGTGTGTGTGTGTGTACGCGCATGCGCGTTCATTTGCTTGGTTCGTGTGTGTGTGTGTGTGTGTGTGTGTGTGTGTGTGTGTGTACGCGCATGCGCGTGCGTGCCATGGTCTCACACCATAGCCTTGGCTGGCCTGGAATGTGTTTAAACGAGGCTAACCTCAAACATACAGGGACCCTCATCTCTGCCTTCCAAGTTCTGGCATTACAGGCATGTACCACCATACCTGGCCAGATGTCTACACTTTAAACCACCTCCTCCCAGATCTCTGCCACATCAGCCTCCAACACACACCTTATGGTATACCTGGGCTTTCCCGGGTCACCTTTGCCATCCCTTTGCTACAAGAAGACGACTCAGTCTACGTTAGCTGAGTGTGTCCATTGGCTGAGTTGTAAACAGTTCTCAGGATGATCTCTAGGCAGAATATGGCAGTACACACCTATAACCCCATTTCTCAAGAGGACTGAGGACTCAGGCCAGCCTAGGCTATGTAATGGGACCCATCTCAGGAGAAAAAAAAAGAATGGATGAATGAATGATTGTGGGAGTGAATAAACGGTGTAAGGTTGGTGACCGACCGAGATCCCTGGTCTTTACCACATGCCTGTTAGGTATCACATGGCCTTCCTGTTGAGGGCCGCAGCTCCATGAAGTTCAGCCACTTGAGAGGGACTCAGAACTTTCCAGAAGCTATCGTGCTCATGACTGGGGCCTATTACAATGGGAGGAAGGATCATTAATCACCAACTTGGTGGAACAGAGGCAGAGTGGAGGGGTTTACACAGCCTGCGGTAGAGATGTCAGCATCGTGTCCCTGTGAGAAGTTAGTCAGCAGACAAGAGGGGACACACCCTTATTTCTGCCCCACCTCCCTAGTACAGGAGTTTGCCAGAAGCACCATGAGGCTCAGCTGCATGAGAGGGACTCAGAGTTTGCTGGAAGCCGTCATGCTCATGGCTAGGGCCTGTTCCACTGGGGGAGAGATGCAGAGGTTTAGGACTCCGCCATGGCAAGACTGTCTCATGGGAGAGTCCAGGAAACTACCAGACTCAGAGCTTCCGTTGTCCTGTTCCTGTGGAGAAGGGATAGCATTCCTGTCCTGGTCTCCGCTCGTGCTGTCACATTCACTCAGGCCTGGAACCTTGGAGTTTTTATTGGGACTCTGTTATGTACATAGTGATTTTTTTTATAGTCCACGTGGTTGATCTAGTCTTCAGGTCAACCTAAAAACCCCCCTTTCCCCGTGAAATAAAAGTCTTTGGCCTTCCTGGTGCGACCGGTCCCTAAATTCAGACTGAGTGTGGCCAGGCATCACCCTAGCTCCCACGCCAGACAGAGCTCTTGAAATGCGTGCCGTGGCCAGCACTTCAATGTGTGCTTTGACTCCCGTGCAAAGGGGCTATGGGGGGAAACTCCCCTTCTCAGGAGGCTGAGACTCAGCTGCCACCCACTCTTCATGCCTGTGGAGCTTGGGCCCAGAGCTCAGCCCTGTGCTTTGTCCTATAGGCTTTTCTCCAACGTGGTCCAGGGCATAGCTCTGACAGAGGACCAAGTGTCCCGACTCTGACACAAATTAGAAACCCCTCCAGCAAAGCCACATACAACTGTATCCTACATACCATACAGCCTCCCTTGGCAGGGCCCGAAGGAGAGCAGAGGTCAGATTTTTGTCTTCACGGAAGTTATTGGATGCAGCCGAGCTGGCCCTGTACCGTGAAGAACAGACAAGAAGAATGAGGGTGAGCCCCAGGAGGTGGGGCTTTTCTTCTTCTCTCTTTTTTTTTAAATATTTTTAACAAGTTAATCCCAGTTCTCCCTCCTCCCATTCCCCACCTTCCCTCCACCCCACCCCCCATTTGCTCCTCAGAGAGGGTTAGACCTCACATGGGGAGTCAACAAAGTCTGTCCTTGGCAGGACCAAGGCCTTCCCTGCTATGTCTGGGCTGAGCAAGGTACCTCTCTGTAGGAAATGGGCTCCCAAAAGTCAGTGCACACACTGGGGATAGATCCTAGTCCCCACTGCCAGTGGCCCCACAAACTGCCCAAGCCAAGCTGGGGCCTTGTTAGGGTTTCTGCTATACCTGTGCTGGGTGTGGGGCCTTTACTGGATCTGCTGTCTTGTCCTTAACGTGTGTGTGTGCGTGTGCGTGTGCGTGTGTGTGCGTGTGCGTGTGTGTGTGTGTGTGTGTGCGTGTGTGTGTGTGCGTGTGTGTGCGTGTGCGTGTGTGTGTGCGTGCGTGCGTGTGTGCGTGCGTGTGTGTGTGCGTGCGTGTGTGTGTGTGTGTGCGTGTGTGTGTGCACGCGCGCACGCGTGCGCGCACGCACACATGTATGTACTGGTTTCTGCCTACCGGTTCAGCCTCTTGGGATCTTCCACATCCCTGCCCACCCATGGTTCTCACAGGAATCAGTTTGCATAGAGTCTGAGTTCTCCAGCCAAACAATGGCAAGCAGGGACCGTCTCCCTTTGGTGTGCCATGGGTAGCCACTGTGCCCCATGGGCCAGGTTGCTCCTCGGGTGGGTCTGCATAGGTTGCACATGCGTGTCTGCCCTCCCTGGCCGGGGAAGGGAAGCAGCCTGCCCTGCTTCCTGGGCCTTGCTCTGTTGGGAACTGCTACTTGTGACTGTGGGTTTGAACCTTCCTTCCCCTCACGCTGCCATTCCTTCACTCGTGTGGTTACTTGCTCTCAGCAGTTCCGAGTCGGAGATGGAGGAGGAGGACGATGACGACGATCAGCTCCCCACCTCTGACCTAGGTGGGGTTCCCTGGAAGGAGGCAGTGAGGATCCATGCCCTTCTGAAGGGGAGGAGCGAGGAGGAGCTAGAGGCCTCCAAGAACTTTGAGCCTGAGGAAGAGGAGGAGGAGTATGAAGAGGAAGAGGAGGAGGAAGAGTACGATGAAGAGGAAGAGGAGGAGTCCAGTGAAGGTCAGAAACGTCCTGACCCCACCACCCCCCACCCCCTTTGGCTGTGTTTCTGGTGTGAGTGGAGGAGGTGTAGACATTAGAGTCTGGACGCCGCCCTCGGGACCTGAGGTCTTCTGGCCCTCACTCATTCTAGACCTCAGGTAGGATGCAGCGCCTGGCATCCTTGTCTACATGGGTATTTTTAACTAGAAGTGGAAGCAGGGCTCATCTGAGGACTACATCCAAATTAGGTTGCTTTCATTTTTCACTCTCTCTTTTATCCCCTTCAGTTTCATGTAGAGAGCTTTACTTTAATAAGACAAAGAAGGTTAGCTCCTTCGAGGGGTCCCCCATGGTGCTGGATAACAGACTGCTGCGATCTTAGATGCTCCCTAAACTGGCTCCAGCCGCGCAGGCTATAACCTTGGAGACCTGAAGAATGTGTTCAGGTTTTTGCGTTTCCAGCCATTCCAGTTGCTTCTAAACGTACTCTTGCATTGGGCCTGAGATTTTTCTGCTCAGCCCTCTGTCTGGCTGCCTTGAGAATATCACTCTCCCTGGCTGCAGAGGGCCTGTGGGTGGTAAGGAAGGGAGTCCCCAAGGAGAGCCATGCTCATCCCAGGGGACACAGAGCCAAAGGAGGGACAAGCACTTGTTTTTCCAGCGGTGAATCAGAACTATGGGTTAAATTCTGGACAGCGTGGACACAGAGAATTAGCTCTCGGTGGTGGCACTGCCTACTAGTCTGCTATCCTTGTCTGTGCTCAGGGTGGTACACTTGAGGATGGTTAGTCATCTTCTCATCCTGCATCCTGCAGCATCTCTCATCCTGCACCCACTCCTCTGAAGGCCAATGTGGAACTGGGTAGACTCGCCCAGTTGGGTGAGACATGAAGAAGGAATGTGCTAGGGACAGACTGGGCTAGCAGAGCGTGGTTTCTCTAGTCTGTCATGTCTGCAGCCATGCTGGCCCAGAGTGTCCATGTGCTCACACGCATCAGATTGAGTCCAACCTCTCACAGCTCCAACGGGGAAAGGTGTTCTGTTCGAATCATTTGAGCCACCATATTCTCCATGTGACGATGACTACTTAGCAGCCTTTAGCCCCCACAGAACTCTGGGAGAGCTGCCCCCCTCCCTTCGCGAAGACTTCACATCCCAGGCAGGGGAATTCACTGTTCCTTCAGCCAAGCCCTGGTTGTTCCTTTGTTCCCAGCCTGCCTTGCCTCTTTGGGGCAGCACAGCTGGATGCCTGTGTGGACAAGTGGCAGGATACTCTTGCAGGCAGCTGCCATAACTCTGCTCTCTGTTCTCTTTCCTGCCTCCATTCCCTTCTCCACTTGTCCCCCTGTGGGATTCTTGGTGCTGTCTGTGGGTGTCTGGCTCCCCCTGCTGTAGAAGGGGAGTATTGCCCCTGGGACAGAGAACTCCTGCAAAGCCAGTGGCTTCGGCATCTCTCAAAGGAAGAAGAAATGGGTACATGTGAAGGTACCCGCTTTGCTCCCTGCCCATCTCCACCCCAGCTCCCAAGCAGCCGTCTAAGATGTACCTCCAAGAGCAGGTCCCACATGGAAAGGTCATTTTTATAAAGCTGCTTTCAAAGGCTTTGGGCACACCTAGCCCTGACAGAGCCTCCACAGACAAAGTGCAGAACAGCACAGGGACAGGGGACAGGGGATAGGGTTTGTGGAATGGAGCCCCACTGCTGTCCCTGGAGCTTTTGCTCTGAGTTCCCTTTATCCAGTAAAAGCTCGCTGCCCAGACACAGCTCTTTGGTCTCAGCCTTGGGCCTCCATGCTGTGGATGCCCACACACACACACACACACACACACACACACACACACACACACACACACACACACACCACACGGCTGCATGTGTTGGCAGAAGGCAGAGCTGTGCTCAGAAAAGGCTCAACTCTTCCCTGTGTTGCTTAGAAGCCAGAGAAAGGACCAACCATTTTCTCTGTGTCTCACCCTCCCTGGTCCTGACACATTGAAGCTGTTGGTGAGTTTGCTGTGATCCAGCCCTTGCCAGCGCCATCTGGGCAGCCTATCTTTGGGGATGAGCTGTGAGTCGGTAGAGACCAGTACCAGAGTCTGTGAGGCCAACTCTGTGTCACTGTACAGTTTAACATCCCCATCAGAGAGAGACCTCTCTGGCGCAGTGTGCCATGTCATATCTTCATGACTCTGTTACAGAGCTGTCCTGGTAGTGACAGGTGGTATCCAGTTAAGGGTGTCGGGGGGTGGGGAGTATACACTTCCAGGTGGAAGCTGGCTTCTGGCAGAAGCCCCAGCGTCCGTCCTTCAGATCGGTGGCACCTGCTCTTACTGCCTGAATGGCTTGTCCTCCCTTGCTCAGTGCCCACCCCCACGCTCCTTAGTTACTGGCTGTCTGTCCCTTTATCTTAACCCTACCGTGTGGCATGACCCAAGCACTAATGAGAGGGTCCTGTGGGGCAGGGGCTGCATGTGAATTCCACAGGCTCTGCCATCGAGAGCACATGAGGGCGTGTTGCTGAGTGTTGATTTAGCTAAGAGGCAAACCTCATGGCCAGAGGGGTGAGAAGGGCTTCAGGTCGAGTTTGTAAGAAAGAAGGGGCTTCACCCACAGTAGAGCAGGAGTATTGCCTCACTATGGCCTGAATGCTGGCGTTCAGGACTTCGCAGGACAGAGCTCTGCTTCTTTCCCCTGGCTGCCATCCCCACCCTCACAGATGACCACCTGCCCCCGTCATCGTCCCAGCCACAGCGCCAGCACGTGGCATGTGGTCTCTGACCAAAGGGCGTTTTCTCTCCAGCATCAGCTTTGTTGCAGAGAGTAAAAAAACCTGAAGTCCCAGCAAAGCACATACCTGTCCTGGTTAGTTGGCTGGCTCCTGGCAGAGGAGCACCACCCTCACCCACCTGTGATAGTCAGGAAGGATGCCCTCGGGAGCTTGCTGTGCTAGCTAACAGCCAAGTCCTTGGGCCCCTGCAGTCACGGCCCTACAAGGTGAGGGTCATCTGACCTGTCCCACTCTGGGCGGTGTGGGCCTCAGACCCATTTCATGATGGAAAGGAAAGATCCTTCTGCATTTGGAGGTGGAGTGTGTGGATCTCACTGAACCAAGATGTGTATGTGCAGCTCAAACGACTAAAACAAACCAAATGAGTAGAAAGTGTGTGTGTGTGCACTCGTGTGTGTGGTGTGGTGTATATGTGTGGTGTGTGAGCATGTGCCTCTGTGTGTGCACTCCTGTGTGTGTGAGCATGTGTGTATGTGTGTGTGTGTGTGTGTGTGTGTGGTGTGCATGTGGTGAGTATGCCCACATGCGCATGTGCATTCACAGTTTTTACCTCTTTCTGACTGAAACTGGTCCCAGCAAACACTGTAATTCTTTGTTTCCTTTCCTGTGCTGTCTCACCCCCTCCTCCCTCTCTGTTACCGTTCACTTTCCCTCCTGTCCCCCTGTACCCTCCTTCCTGGGCACCTGGCGCGCTAGCCGGGAATAGCAGGCTGCAGCAGATCATAACCACAGCAGATCCCTTGGCGATCCAGGCTGATGTGCACTGGACACACATCCGTGAGAGAGAGGCGGAGGAGAGGATGCTCCCAACCTCTGAGTCCTCCACTTCCAGAGGTAACTGCTTGAGCCCCAGAGCCCAGTGTACATCCTGAGTGCCCACTCCGAGACCTACTGTGGCTGCAGGGGTCCTGTTTCCTGGGGGACTGCTGTCCTTGGCTCTCATTCAAAGATATGTAAAGTTCTCTGTGAGTTGTGAAGTTGCTGGCTCTGGCTCTACTGATGCAAAATAGGAGCGTGACCCTGACTCAGAAGATTTTAGAACTTGCCGTCTCCTGCATTTCTCAGCAGGGCATTCTTTATCCCTGTCCAGAGTGTGTTGACAGAGTGGGTGTCGTATGAGTGCATGACAGGACCGAAGAAGAGAGCGTACTTAGGAGTTAGAGTAAGGACAGGTGCATCTCAGGGGCCTCTGGTGTCGCTGTGCCATTGTCAACCCCAAGTTTGAGGTAAAGTGGTCTGTTTCCCACCTGGGTGAAATGTGTTTATTTGATTTCTTTCTTGTTTGTTTGAAGAAGGATCTTACTATGTATCCTGTATTGGGCTGGAACTTGCAGTGTAGACCAGGCTGACCTTGGATTCACAGAGACCCACCCTTTACTGCCTTCTAAGTACTGGGATTAAAGATGTGCACCACAATGCCTGGCCTCCCCTCCCCCTTCTCTCTGTCTTTCTTCCTTTTCTTATTTTTTTGACAGTCTCACTAAGCTAGCCATGCTGGCCTTGAACTCAAGATCCTGCTGCCTCAGCCTCTAGAATGACTCTTACTACCATGTCCAGCCTCCGCCTTCTTCTAAGGAGAAGCAATTAAAAAAGGCAAAACTCATTTAGAGGTGTGGGGTGGCTTAATGTCTTTCTCTTTGGCCACTTGTCTTCCATATAGAGACCCTTGGTGGCATCACCTTTTCTGGCTGAGGTGGTGCCACCCAGGGCTATCTGTCCCATGAGGCTTTGAGTTTGTAGAAGATCACCTACAGTCCATGGGAAAACTTGGGCCTTCATGTGACCTTTTATCCTCTAGGACATCAAGATGAACTACAAGACAGGGACAAGGACCACTCAGCAGTTGAGCCTGAGCTGACCTCTCTGGAGTTCTGTCTTCTTTCTCTATCCCAAATACCCGTCACACAGGCTGACATTGGATCTCACACACACATTCCTGTGTCTGTGCTGGATGGTCCCTTATATGCCCTTGGTTCCTCGTCCTCTGTTTTGAATTTTAGGACTGACCAGCTTTCCCTGCTAAGAACTTACCAGTATTTAACTGTGCATTTATCATCTGTTTTAAATTCAGTGACCGGCCTTCCCTCCGTACGCCGCGCAGCAGTACAGGCCTGGCTGGAGACTGTCTCCGGAGGTAGTCTGGTGATATGTGACACCCCCTCCCTGTTCATAACCTCTTTCTCTAGGCAGCTCTGCTGGCATCTTAACTCTAGGACTCAGCTCCTGTCGCTGGTGCATGCGAGGGCAGAGCCAGTGGGCGGGGCTCGTGCATGCTTAGTCAGACAGCCCATATGCATGGACCAGAAGCGCATCCCCCATCCCTAGGCAGACTGGAGGCCAACAGTGGAGATAGGATGGAGTCGTGTCTTCTAAAAGTTACCATTATCGGTTAGATATGAAAGCCAAGGTGAAAGGAAGCTTTTTATGCTGAAGTAAAGTTGGGTTGCAGTAGATATGGAATGATATCAGATACTGTCCCATAACCCCACCAATGTGTCAGAGGACCAGTCTAAACAGGAATTCACGGAAAGTTTGCCTTTCCGTTGCCAAGAGGAGAAGCGACGACTGGTGGGCACCGTTGAACATACAAGAGGCTGCCAGGCTGGCACCAGCGTCACAGGACACAGGCCAGAGGTGACCTGAGGGGTCTTAATTATCCTTCCTTGTTTCACTAGAAACCTGTTTCTCAAGGAGAAGGGTGCCTGGCGTTTGGGGTAGAGCAGACAGTCCTTCCCGCCTTGACAACTTGTGCCCTCAGAGCTGAGCAGTCTCCACTAACCCTAGAAGCCCCCCAAAGGGAGACATCACTTGTAGGACAAGTAGGGACGATGCTTGTGGACCTTTATCACCATTGTCCTCACAAGCAGCTGTAAGTAGACATATGTGTTAGGAGGCCCCACACAGGGGAGGGAGGGGCCAGGCCTCTGAGTCTAGTATGGCTAACCCTGAATATCACCTTCTGAGCTAGAAGGAGGAACAGCACTGAGGAGAAAGGATGTTCTCGCAGGCAGCTAACATAAATGGCCACTCCCAGCTTCCGTAGTGTGTGGCTCCTCATTTGTGTGGCCGCTTCCAGCACAGCGCTCCATCTTAACCAGAATTCCATCCCTTGGTTCCATCGCTCTAGCTGTGTCTCCGCGCACATCTGCTGCCGCCGCGCAATAGCACTGAGTGTTTGTTTTTTGATATATGTGACCATCATTTCTTTCAAGGTGTTCTGAGATGTTTCTTAGTAGGAAAACTGGAAAGGACCAAGAGACCAGGACTGGGAGAGGCTGGTTGGAGGCTGGGCCGGCCTGGGAAAGCCAGGAGTGGTCTCCTTTGGGCTGCTTGCAGAGAGAATGTGGTTGCCACCTCAATGCGAGCATTTGTGCACAAAGGCCCCCTGGAATGGGCCCAGATTCTGTTCACAGCGTCCTCTTATTCCTCAACATGGCAGAGCGTAATGATGGACTCGCCATCCCAGTACAAAGCTTAGTTTTAAAGCGGGACCCTGGGGTGTGTTCAGTGGTTGTTGGTGTCTCCAAAGTCACATTCACACGTTCTCTGGTGAGCATCTTCATGAGTGGCCCAAAGCAACAAGACCACTCGAAGGTTTTAGTCCTGTGGGGATACTTGAGTAATTTTTCTCCAGTGTTTATCCCCATAAATGCTGTCAACGAACAAGAGTGCCTTGGCATTGCCCACTCCCTGGATGACTCTGGTGTCTCAGGAAGAGCGGAAGTTAACTGTCCAGCAGCCACAGCTTCCTAACCCTGGGCTGTCTGCCGTTCTCCAGACTTATTTGACATAGTTCTCCAGTTTCAACTTTGAAAATGTTCATCTGGGCACGGTGACACACACACACCTTTAATCCTAGTACTCAGGAGGCAGAAGTAGGCAGATCTCTGAGTTCAAAGTCAGCCTGGTCTATGTAGCAAGATCCAGGCCAGCCAGAGGTACATAGTGAGACCCTGCCTTAAAAAAAATTAAAAATCATAAAAGAATTTTTCATAGAGTTGAACTATGGCCTCTTATGAATAGTGTGTTGAATAAGTGTACAAAAACGTGTACAGTGTTGGGAATTAAATCAAAACTCACAGAACTGCCTCCTGTTATGTCAAGAAACAGGAGTCTCTTGACATCCCTCCCTGAGGGAGTCTCTTTCTCAAGTTTTGTCATCACCTGAGCTCAGTGGCCCATGCTGACAGGGGCAGAGCCAGTAAGTTGGCCTGGCCTCTCCTGGTTCAGTTCAGCTTTGAGATGCTCCAGATGTGCTTTGATGCCTTACTCTAAGTAAATCAAAGGCTTGCCCTCAGGCTGACAGCATCCCAGGCGGAGCCTCTGTCCTAGGCTGACAGCATCCCAGGCGGAGCCTCTGTCCTAGGCTGACAGCATCCCAGGCGGAGCCTCTGTCCTAGGCTGACAGGCAGGAGCCTCTGCTCTCCCACTCTCCATCTGTACTGGCTGCACATTCTCTGCAGGAACAGGCTAGGTCCAGGTGCTCTAAAGCTCTAGGACTGTTGCCTCAGGGTGGATGAAGTGCATGAGTGCTTACTTTATTTTGTAGCCCTAAAGAGCCATTCTTGAGTCCAGAAAGGGAGCTTTACACGTCCGCTCTTGTCCACCCTCTTGCTTTAACAAGCTCCTCTAAGCTGTCTCAAGAAAAGACACCCAGCCTGTACATGTGCTGACACAAACAACAGTAGAGCCCGTTGTGAATCACTTGACCCTCAGGCCTAGGCTTTGTCACCTAGAGGTGACCATGAGGAACAGGGCCCTCTGGCTGCCTCAAAATGAAGAGTATCTACCTCATGGCACATGAAGTGGCCTGTACTGGGCCTGTTATATAAGTAATATAAATACTGCTAAGAGCTGCCCATGGCCCCACAGCATCCCTTGATAATGACTGGCTTGGGGGTCTCATAGCAGCAGCTCTGGAGGAAAAGGTGATGCCTCCAGGCCAGAAGCTGCTCCTCTACTCCCACCTGGCCCTGTGAGAGTGGAGAAATGGCTGTGGCACCCACGCTGCTTATAGAGCGCTCTCCGAAACCGACCCGGGGGCCTGCCTTCTCCCCGTGGCCTATGCATCACTACCTTCTTGCGCCCTGCACAGTTACTTTTCCGTCTGTCCGTTTCTTCCCGTCCGTGAATGTCTCTGCCTTACAGCCCCTCTGGATGAGAATGACCTAGAAGAGGACGTGGACTCGGAGCCAGCAGAGACTGAAGGGGAAGCAGCAGAGGATGGAGACCCTGGAGACACTGGTGCCGAATTGGATGGTATGGGGCCCAGCCGTCCCTCTGCTCCTCTGTGACCTCCTGTGGCACGTGAGGGACAGAACTCACAAAAGACAGTTTACACCAAAAGTTTAGGGGGCCAGCTGGGGTGGGAGGCAACTCTGGGATTGGCAGAAGAGAAGGGATGATGAGTCCACAGGTACCCAAAGGGTTTTGGCGGGGGTAGTTTGCCTTCCATCACAGCCTCTTATGTCGCGGTCACTGTGTTTTACAAGTAGACAAATGGGATGGGGATGGGGAGATGGCTCAGTGGGCAAAGTACCTGCTACACAGGCAGGACGCCCTGAGTTCAGCTCCCCAACCCCCTTAGAAACACCGGGCACAGAGGAGAGTGGAGACAGGCTGACCTAGGGGGCCAACCAGTTAAGCTGAAAGGCAAGCTCCAGGTTCAGTGTAACCTTGTCATAAAAAGATGAGGTGAAGAGCAATGGGAAACACCCAATACCAACCTCTGGCCCTCACACAGGTGAGGACACACAGACAGACAGACACACACACACTCTAACACATACATCACACACAACAAAAGCAAACAGGTGTCCACAAACCCAACGGATGCTTTGTGTCTGGTAAGAGACTCAGTTTGCAGGGGCCTTGTGCCTGGCTTAGATCTCATGGCACAGTGGGTCACCCCATTGAGCAAATCTCTAAGGAAGCAGGACACAGAAAGGAAACACTCGCCTGCCTCCCACAGATCAGCACTGGTCTGATGACATCCCTTCGGACGCCGAAACGGAACTCCGCTTGCAGCGCCAGGCCCAAGTGACAGCTGATCTGGAGCTGAGAGTGTCAGAAATTGATGAAGACAAACTGCCTGATACGCCAAAGCAGGAGGGGAGAGGTAGGGGCAGGAGGAAGGACTCCCAGAAAGCCAGAGCCCGCAGGGGCATGCCGGTAATAACAGATGAAGCCTTCAGAATAGCGCCTATAGCCTGTTATGCCTAGCCCTGTGGGTGGCCAAAAGCCCCAACCCTCCCTGTCCTGGACCTTGCCTGTCCTGGGCCACAGATCTCCACAGTCAGCCTCAGCCAGTGGCACCTCTTCTTGGGTTGTTTGGGAGCTCCGGGCCCAGATCATATGATGACCAGAGTGCCAGCATGCAGGGTACAGGCAGTGCCTCCTTGAGTCCCTTCAGCTGATTTTTTTTCTGAGGGCAGACAGAGGAACAGAGTACAAGTTAGCCTGTCTGAGGCCCTGCTCTCCTGGCTATGGTGTGAGACCCTCCAGGTATCTAGCTGCTCCCTACTCCTAGTGTATGCAGAGTGGAAGGAACTTAATTCCTATTATAAACCCCCGTGTCCCTCCTTTTAGGTCCTTCCCAAGTCTCCAGCCCCAGCCAGTCACCTCAGAAACAAGCTGTTCTGTTCTCCCCAGCCCAGAGCCCTGGGGCAGAGGTAAGCAGGGCTGGGGACGGGTGGTCAGTGGGACCTTGAAGATATATGGCCCCATCTTAGGACCCATGGTGTAAGCTCCACCAAGAGAGTTGAAGCCGTTCTATAGCCAACCATTTTGTGACTTCTAAGAAGTTCCTATCTTGTGCTAGGTAAGACTTGACGAGGTACAGGGTTCAGGTGCTGCCTCAGTCCTTATGGATGGGCTAATTTTTTTTGAGGGTTTTTTGTTTGTTTGTTTGTTTTTGTTTTGTTTTTGTTGTTGTTGTTGCTTTAATTTTTGCAAGTTTATTTTTAAGTTGATGCAGTGATATTTATGCATCTAAAGGTTTATAATAGGTATATTTTTTTTCCTTATGTGAAAATGAATGTGTAACTATTTAAATGAAAAACATGCCTCTAGGTTGCCAGAATCACTTCAGAGAATGAACGTGAATGTGTCATGCTAATGTCTGAGGTTCTTGGTCTGGGAAGTACAACTTGCAGGACAGACCAGGGAGGACTTAAAGCCAGGCCCTGGTCTCTGGGGCTCCAGGCAACATGCACAGTAGTTAACCGGGGATGGGTGGGGTATTATAAGGGTCTGTGCACCTCCATGGTTCCACAGAGGGTCAGTGTTGCTGGAGAGGAGTACTGTGCTAAGTAATGACTTTAAATCTTCTAGTACATTAGCCCCATGTTATCCCTCGGGGACCCCAGAGCTCTAGTTACTGTGGGTTGTGATGAAAGTCCAACTCATTAGTGTTCGTGTGGGTGGACCAGGAACCAAGGACGAATGTGTGAGATCAGCCAACCCTGAAAGCTCAGGCCGTGCGAGCTGAGTGGAGAGGTTTTGAAATGGTAGCGAGTGGAGTTGAAAATGAGGATGCTCCTCCTGCAGCTCTGGGAAGCCTAGCCCAGAGGGTGGAGAGGGTTTTACTTCCGTCAGTGTAGGCCCCTGAGAGAAGGCTCCCTGAGGGAAGGTGCTGCCTACACTGTTCTCTTCTCTCCGTGTAGGGGACCAAGGCCCTGCTTGCCTCTGTTGCCACCAAGACAAAGTCTCCCGAGGAGCCCCTCTTCCCTGCACCTCTGCTCCCCAGAGAAAAGCCCAAAGCTGAAGCCCCCACAGATCAGAAAACTGCACACTCACCCATCCGATCACAGCCTGTGTCCCTGCCGGAAGCCAAGACACCTACCTCACCTACCAGTTTAAAGCCAGAGTCTCTGGTGGCCCCTCCCACACCTCCCTCCACCCAGCCCCCCATCTGCTCCCAACCTCAGCCTTCCTCAGATGCTTCCATACCTTCACCCACCGAGTCCCCCATACGTTTCCAGCCAGTTCCAGCCAAAACATCCACACCCCTGGCCCCACTTCCTGTGAAAAGCCAAGGAGACACCAAAGACAGATTAAGTGGCCCTCTGGCTGTGGAGGAGGCCCTGAAGCGGAGTGATCTGGTGGAGGAGTTCTGGATGAAGAGCGCCGAGATCCGCCGTAGCCTGGGCCTCACTCCTGTGGACCGGAAGAAGGGGTCAGAGCCCAGCCTCCCCTCACCTGCCTTTAAGCCAATATCCCTAAAGTCGTACTCGGTTGACAAGTCCCCTCAGGAAGAGGGCCTCAGCCTTCTGAAACCTCCACCTGTTCCTAAAAGGTTGGGCCTGCCAAAGTCAGCTGGTGACCAGCCCCCACTGCTGACCCCAAAGTCACCCTCTGACAGGGAGCTGAGGAGCAACCAGGAGGAGCGTAGGGACCTCTCCAGCAGCTCAGGCCTGGGTCTCCATGGCAGCTCTTCCAACATGAAGACCTTGGGCAGCCAGAGCTTCAACACCTCTGACTCCACAATGCTCACCCCACCTTCTAGCCCTCCCCCACCCCCACCTCCCAATGAGGAGCCTGCAACCCTGCGAAGGAAACCCCATCAGACTTTGGAGCACAGGGAGGCCTCAGTTGTCCCACCTCCCCCTCCTACCACATTCATGCGGCCCCCACGGGAGCCAGCCCAGCCCGCCAGGGAGGAGGTTCGGAAGTCCTTCGTGGAGAGTGTGGATGAGATCCCCTTTGCTGATGATGTGGAGGACACATACGATGACAAGACTGAGGACTCGAGTCTGCAGGAGAAGTTCTTCACGCCCCCCTCCTGCTGGTCCAAGTCAGAGAAGCTCCAGGCTAAGGAGAATGGGCGGCTCCCTCCCCTGAATCCGGATATGCAACCACAGAAAAGAGGCCTGCCTGTGGTCTCTGCAGAAGCCAAGGAGCTGGCTGAGGAGCGCATGCGAGCCCGGGAAAAGTCTGTGAAGAGCCAGGCACTTCGAGATGCCATGGCCAAACAGCTGAGCCGGATGCAGGCCATGGAGATGGCATCATCTAGGTCCCGCCCAGCACCATCCCAGGGCAAGGAACTAGGACCAGAGTCCACCAAGCGTACAGGCCTCCGAGGCTCCCAGGAGCCCACTCTGAAGCATGAAGCTACTAGCGAGGAGATCCTCTCCCCTCCATCAGACTCAGGAGGCCCTGATGGCTCTGTCACCTCATCTGAGGGCTCCAGTGGGAAGAGCAAAAAGAGGTCGTCCCTCTTCTCCCCCCGCAGGAACAAGAAAGAGAAGAAATCCAAAGGGGAAGGCCGAATCCCAGAGAAACCTAGCCTGGGCCTCCCAGAGGAAGTGGCTGCTAAGCCCAAGTCCCTGTGGAAATCAGTCTTCTCTGGATACAAGAAGGACAAGAAGAAGAAGAGTGATGAGAAGTCCTGCTCCAGTACCCCATCCAGTGGTGCGACAGTGGACTCAGGCCACCACAGGTTGTCTCCCATAGTGAGAACAGGTATGCATGGCTGAGGGATGCTCACAGAACAAGTGTGGGAAGTACCTCCCCGATCATTCACAAAAGATACACTCCCCTGTGCTGCTGCTGCAAGGGTTCTTAGAGAGAACAAGCCATTCTTGTCTCAGCCTGCACGAAATGTTAATGCCAACTTGAAACTAGATAGAGTAGATTTTTGTTGGTACCCTTCCTCAAGTCACATGACCCCAAACATGGGCCTGATTTTGAGTGGAGCAGTCTTACCAAGGGATCTTGAACAGGTGTCTAATATGCCATCTGTTTGGTGTTGGCCTATCACCTTTGGAGGGGAATCTTTTAGAGACCCACCTATGGCTGACTTCCTGGCTGCTTGATTTCATGGGGTGCTGACTGCTGTCTTGACTTGGCCTCTTTTCACCTTACAGAGCTGCAACTCCGGCGCCAGCTGAGTTTCTCAGAGGACTCAGACCTGTCCAGTGATGACATCCTTGAAAGGTCTTCCCAGAAGTCCAAGCGAGAGGTGGGTGGACCCAGTCCCTGAAGAGCTTCAGAGAGCTGGTGACAAAGCATCTATTTAGTTTCTGGTAGAGAAGCAGACCATGAAAGCCAGTCTGAAGCCAGGGTGCAGAGCCAATGCCTGCTCCAGTCTCCTAGTAGACAGACATTGGAGTGCTGTGCCAGCCAACATCCAATGCCACAAAGTGATATTTTAGGCCTTTGAAATAAGCAGCTGGGGATATTGCCTCAGTCTGAAGAAGCCAGGGTACTCTGTTGGTTAGTAGTCCGGCATTATACAGTAAGCAATGTCTGCCAGGGTCAGACAATTGGAGAAGAGCTGAGGTACTGCTTGGGGTCATGCAAGTATAAACTGGGCACCAGGCATGAATGGGAGGTAGACCAGATGGTTCCCTCAGGAATAGGCCTAGTCAAGTTCACTACCTGGTGCATTTAAGTACAGGGCTTTCTCTGTTTTAGTAATTGAAAGCCTTGGTGGCGGGTCATCCACTAGGGCATGGGCACCTACCAGTGAGTGACCACCCCAACGTGTACCTTTTTGATGTGAGTTCTCAAGGCTTGGACTTAACATTGTCCCCTCTATCAATAGCCTTGAGATGTAAACCAGCCAGGATAGGTTGAGGTAGCTCTGCACCCCACATGTCACTGTTCATTGAGATGGTATCTCCCTGTTAACTGGTCCATCCTCCAGCCAGTCTCAGTTCCTCTTTTAGTAATTCAGCCGACTGGGAAAAAATCAGTTTATTCTTATCTCATTCTCCATTCATCTGCATTTTCATTGTCTCAGTCTATATTATCTTGCTGGCCATGATGCTAGTTCTTTCTCTACTATCTAGTCACCAAGAAACACTGGCCTCTCTTCCTTCTCCATCGCCTGCAGCCAGGCCTCGTTTCTTTTACCAGGAGTCTGAATTTAGGGCTGGGGGGCTATATGTTCTCCATAGAGGTTCAGTCCAACGTGTTGCTGCTGGGAATGCCTGCTGCGGTTTTCCAGGCAGTAGCACTGGGGCTGAACCAAAGATTATGTGTATGTGCACATGAGTTTCAAAATTCACCCAACCCTGGGGGCAAGTACTGTCTTAGGAGTCCTGAAGGAGCCGGGCAGAAGAGAATGATCCAAAGTCCCCTTTGCTTCCATGGTGAGTGTGCTCATGTTAAGACAGTTTGTGTCACACTGGTTGAGTCACACCGCTTCTCCATGAGTTAATGAAACATCTTGCCATAAAGGAGAATGTCAGATGCCCCCACTGACTATGCCAAATCCATCATCTTGATGTAGGTACCCAGCAACCACAATATAAAAAGCCCAAGAACTCATTGCCATAGTTATGCGAACAGTGACAGCCGCCTCTTAGATTCCTAGAACTGTAAGGCCTTGGATACCTTATGTATCAGGTGCACTCCATAGAGACAAAGTCATTCTCTGGGGGTCACATAGAGAATGCTGATGACCAACCAAATATGGCTCTTAGGATAATGTTGCATCTCTGAGTGAGGGCAGGACACAGTATTTCTTAAAATATGGAACCTACTAGGTATGGCTGTCTCATGCAACCCTAACACCTCAGGAGGCCAAGACAGGATTGCACAAATTCAAGGCCAGCCTGGGCTACCTAGTGCGTTCTGGGCCACCCAGAGATACATTGAAAGATCCTATCTAATAAACAAAGAGAAACACATACAGACCCTACAGTGGGTAAGAAAGCAGAGCAAACAATCCTAAAACTGTAAAGGAAACTTTAGAACTGTTGATGGCATTTGAGGGTGTAATATGTATTTTTTAAAAATACCATCAGTCATCAAATTGATGTCAAGTTCCTAGCACGCGGTAATTATTGCTGAAGCTTCTAGGCACTGGGTCTCTGATGTCTAAAAACAGGCTGTGTAAAGATCACACCCTGAAGTGTGCCACAATGCCACCATCTGGGAGTCAGAGTAAAGAGGGGAGGGTTCTAGCATCATTGGCTTCCTCCTGCAGTGCTTCTGGGTTTTAAAATTTTCACAATTAGAAGTGTCAGGATCAGTGGGACCAAGAGTGGAAATAGGCTTTTGCTTGCCCAGAAAAGGAGCCTCTGGCCGCAGTGTAGTGTAGGTGAAAGCCATCCTCTTCCTGTTTCACAGACCCAGGCCCTGAGTCAGCACTTGAAAAACAAGTGCCTAGGTTTGATTTCCATAGTGATGTGCAAACACATAAAACCAAAACCTTGTTTTCACTTAAGTCTGTTATACAAAAATTAATTATTCAGAGTTTGTGTGTTTGTGTTTGCATGTGTGCAAGCACATGTATGTAACATGCATGTGAAAAGCTAGAAGACGACCTTGAGTGTCACTCCTCCAGTGCCTATTTACCTTTCATGTGTTCATGTATGACAGAGCTCTCCAGTTAGACTAGACTGGCTGTCTGTACAGCAAATCCTGAGACGGGACCCATCTGTCTCCAGCTCCCTGGCTTTGAAATGACAAGCACACCCCACCAAGCCAGGCTTTTTATGTAGGTTTATGGCTCAAACCCTACCTAAAGCCTTCATGCTTGTAAAACAAGTATGTTCCTAACAGATTTATCTCCCCAGCCCAATCCAGATTTTCTAGCCATCTAAAGCCCTGCCAACAAAAGGTAACTCTTGTTAGCCTCTTTCCTTTGCTTCCCTGTGACTCTTAAGTGCAGCCTGCCCAGATACTCCTCTGTCACTGAGGCCCACATCACTCTGCCAGCTCGTTATCCTGCTTTGTACCCCTGCAGCAGCCAGCTAGCCATGCTCCCAGTATACCCGTGTGTCATAATTCCCCTCCCTGTTACTGCCACTGCCAAGTTGGTACCAGCAGTGGGGAAATTAATAAAGATGCTGCTGTGTGTCTCTTTGTATCGGCAGCAGCCACAGACAGACACAGGTGTCAGCGTCTCTCTTGAAGTGTGTCTGTGTAGGCCGCTGGGGACCTCATGTGTACTTTTCCCTTCTAAACCGCCCTGTTCTGCATGAGGACTTCACTCACAATGTGCTTTGTTGGGGAGAGGATGCCTGTGCTCAGAGCTAAAAGCAGCAAATCTGTTCCCCAGCCAGCAGCATATTTGTGGTATCCTGTGAGGATCCTGTTCCACCCTCAGCCCCTCAGCATCCCCCTGTCCTGCACACCACCAAATTCCAATTGCCTCCATGCCTGGGTCCACAGGCACTTCATAGGACCCGTGAGAAGACCACAAAAGCAAAGGAAATGGGCTAAGGGTTAGCGCAGTTCTGATCAGTGTGCGAAGTGAAAAGATTTCCATGGCTGCCTGAGCATTGGTACTTTCCAAGTCATGGTGATTTGTGCCACTTTGGTTCCCTTCGCTGGGTGTGAGTCTGAAATAGCAAGTTAGTCCAGTCCCAGGGCAGCTGGATATCACACTGCTCGAGAACACCTGTCTGGCCCGAGAAGCTGTCAGGAGAGTCTGTAAGGGTCAGTGCCCATTTCCCATCTCATCTCCCTTCGATGATAAGTGCTCAATGGCAGCATCATATAGGAAGGAAGGGGTGGCTATGGGTAAAGAGGGCCAGTCACCATACATTTCAGCAAACTGGGATTCAATAAGGGACAGACAAAGGATTCGGGGTATGTTGTTTTGTGAGTAGAAAAGTGAACCCCGGCTTTAACAGTGGGGTTCAATGAAACTCAGCTGGTAAGGTCTGTACCCCCAAGTTCCTTCTTGTTCAGTCTTGTGTGACATTGTGAGAAATGATCATGTGATTTAGTCTTATGTTTGTTTTAAACCTCTAACTGATTTTGTTCCATTTCTGTATTCTATTTTCATTTTTTTAATCATCATTATCATTCCTGTTCTGTTTTGTTTTCCGTTGTCATCCCCTTAAAAGTCGATTTATGTACCACACGCCTTGGCGTTCAGGAGAGCCTATTCATCAAAGGTAGTGTCTCATTGCCACTGGCTGGTCCTCATTGCATGCCTGTCTGTGATTAACCACTTGGACAGCCCTGCTGGGCCCTGCAGCCACGTCCTCACTAACTGTGTCATACATGCATGCAGCTGTCACAGTCAAACCTTCTTCAGTTGTGTCACAGAGAGAGGAGGAGACAGTCACTCTTCCCTTGGCTGGAGTGCATGTCATCATGGGTCAGGGCAGAGCTGCCCCCGTGGGTCTGGGTAGCCCAGCAAGGGGTGGTCATCACCTCTGCTCGGAACCGTTAGGCCACTGGGATGCTGTGGCAATCTTTAGAGACTGCCTTCTGCCTGTGCACCTGACCTACTGCTATCACTTGAGCTCCTTGAGGAGAGATGATACGTGTGGACCCAGATCTCCTTCACAGTCAAAAAAAAAGTCTCAGTTTCTTTGGAGGAAACAAAGAGGATCTCACAAAAGAGGACAGCCCCCCCCCCCCTGCTTCTTAGTGGCTGCCCAGCATCTGTCCCATCACCGAATGCTTGGGAATGTGGTAGCCCGTGTACACAAGTGGCTGGGACATCCATCTGTGTCTGCATGGGACTTGCCCAGTTGCCTCCTCCAAGATCACCACCCCAACTACCCTGCCAGGTCATTTCTGCCCTTGATCTCCATGACAACGGTTGCCTCTACACACCCAAGCAGTCACTGCTACCGTTCCTTTTTCAACCTGTGTTAGCCTGGATTCACTGAGTTTTCGAATGGAGGCACCCATGTCTTCTCTCCTTCAGATGTTAGCTACTAAAACCCTTATGACCACCCCCAACCTGGAGAAAATAATCCCAAACAAGGTGGGGGGAAGAGGCCTCACTTTCCAAACCTCTTCTTTTTCCTGTATGCCTCAGAAATAGGAGGCCTGGGGAAACATTTTACTGCGTTTTTGTTTTTTAATCACAATGCCTTAGGAAGAAAAAGAAAAAAGACACAGACATGCTAGGTGGTAGTGGCACAGGCCTTTGGTCCCAGCACTCAGGAGGTAGAGACGGGCAGTTCTTTGTGAGGTCAAGGCCAGCCTGGTCTACAGAGCAAGTGCCAGGACACCAGGGCTACACAGAGAAACCCTGTCTTGAAAAAGAAACTTAAATAGCAACAAAAACCACAGACACACTTAAGTGGCGATTATGACCTCAGTTCCAAAGCCTGTGCGTGTCTGAGGTTTACACCCCAACACTCATTCCCCATTAAGCCTCTTGTCCCTGCCACAGGGGTGAAGGGTCTCACACTGAGGCCTCTGGCCTAGCCTCAGCATAGCCGTCTGCAGCTGGCTTAGGTGCTCTCTCTTGCCCTCTCTAGCCCAGAACCTACACAGAAGAGGAGCTGAGCGCCAAGCTGACGCGGCGGGTGCAGAAGGCGGCGCGGAGACAGGCCAAGCAGGAGGAACTGAAGCGGCTGCACCGAGCCCAGGTACACGCTGGCAGTGGGACCCCACATACAGGTGGGAGCCCCGTTCCCCCAGAGGGCCTCATCTACAGCAAGGAAGGTGAAGACGCCAGGGCAGAAACAGAGAGCGGCATTCGTGGCTCAGAGTATTTTAGCTCCGTGCATTGTGGCACTGTTCGTAAAAAGGAAGATGTGTGCTATAATTTTCCTGGAAGCCTTGGTCTAGAGTAGACGTAGGGTCAGCAGGTTCACTTGTCACCATAATGTCAGGGGTCAGCGTGTGGCCCTGACCTCCGTCTAGTGTCAGGGGTCAGTTTGTGACCTTGACCTCCGCTCTAGTGACGGGTCAGTGTGTGGCCCTGACTTCCGCTTGGAATAGTCTGGAATTTCATAGAGAAAACTAAGGAGGACTTCTGGTTGTCAGTCTTTAATCTTCACAGTCTAGACCAGAGGTTCTCAACCTGGAGGTCATGACCTCTTCACAGGGCTCACCTAAAACTATCAGAAAACACAGATACTTATGTTATGATTCATAACAATAGCAAACTTACAGTTATGACGTAGCAATAAAATGATTTTTATGGTTGGGGTTCACCACATGAGGAGCTAGCTATATTAAGGGGCTCACAGCATTAGGAAAGTTGAGAACCACTGTCCTAGACTGTTCTAGACTCTTCTTTTGTAACTTACTGATTCTGATCACTCCATCCAGTGTTTTAACAGTCAAGTCTCTCTACTGTAAAAGATTCAACAAAGTCATTTCCATGGAAAGGGAACAAGCCCTGGGATCCAGCTACGTGCAGCCGGCACAGCACGCTGGCCATAATGTCCCTCTTGTTGTCTTGACAACGCTTATCTTCCTCCCTGCAGCTTGATTTTCTTGCTGGAAGCTGGAGGTAAGAGAGGTCTGGATGCTCACCGTGTGTTTCTCCGTAGATCATCCAGCGGCAACTGGAGCAAGTAGAAGAGAAGCAGAGGCAGCTGGAGGAGAGGGGGGTCGCCGTGGAGAAGGCCCTACGAGGCGAAGCAGGTACTGTCCGGCCTCCTGGGAGGGGCTTTTCTCTGAGAGAGCCTGCCTTTCTCCCTAGGGTGAGCCCATTGGGCATCACCTCTTCTGGAATTCAGTTCCTTTTCTATCAGGGTTTGCTGAGTTCTTGGCATCACTACCGTCCGGTGCTTACCTCTATTCACAGGCAGCCCAGACACCCGGGCCTGCTCCCCAGCCCATTCCTCAAGCTTGCTGTTGCCCTGCAGAACAAAATCCCAGGCCCTGTCACCTGTTAGGGGCAAGCCCTGGGTTTCCTGTTCCTCTCCCTACTCCTCTTCCCTACCGTTTTCTCTAAAAGAAAATATCAGGGAATGAGGGAGATTGTCCCACAAGGAACCATCACAGAACTGCACTGAACAGGCCTCAGCCTGCTTTCCCGAGTGTTCCTCCTGTCCTCCATTCCCTAGGCTCCTTCCAGCCCCAGCTACACAGCCACAGAGCCTGCGTCCTCTCCCGTGTGGGGCTTCTGGCTGCCCTTGCATTCTGATGTCGCTGGCTGAGCCCAGGCTTGTGTCCACCAAAGGCCGGGTCACTGGGAACAGTGTTGGAGAGCCTTGGGTTTGTGATAAGCTCTTGTGGCATAGGCATAGTAGGCATGGGAAGCTATTACAAGGGCCATGTGGTTGGACCCTGCCGGGCTTGGCACAGGTGGGTACAGAGAAGATAAGGTATCCGACTTGTCTCCGGGTCCAAGGTCAGCCCAGCTTCAGGCATGGAATGATTGACCTCCGCTTCCTTAAGGTCCAGTCCCTGGATGGGGACCCTCTTGTCTCTAGGGGTGGCCACTGGCCTATGGGTTCAGCATTCATGATGTGAGGATACAAAGAAGGAAGGTCAGGGGCTCTTGTTTCTTCCTTCCAGACATAGGAGAGCAAGCTGGCACACCTCCTGGGCAGGCAAACCAAAGAACTAGTAGGTCAGACAGGGCCAGCCATTGCCTCGTGGGCTTTCTAAACACTGGCCAGTGGTCTAGCCTGGAGGTGAGGGCCAGGTGTCAAGGATCCAATTTTGCAACTGGAGTTCCCAGTAGAGGAATCAGGGTAGGCACAGAAGCAAGCCTTCCTTCAGATGACCCTTGGGTGAAGCTGTGTCCTGAGAGAGAAGGATGAGGATGTGGATGTTTGGGGTTTCTGTTTCACCTGATGCTGGACCTGATGTTTGGAGCCATGCTACTAAAGGGAGTCCAGAAGCTTGAGTCACTTTGTATCCAGCCAGAAGACTGGGAACCGCTGGTAGAAGCAACACTGGCCACCAGGCCAAGCCGTGGAAAAGGGATCCACCCACATATGGCTTCCCAGTGAGCCTGTGCCCCGCGCAGCCTGCAGCCCGTGCCGCCCACCCCCTTCCTCTGACTGATCTCAGTGCAGCCCGAACACCGGTGCCAGTTAGCCCTCTCTCTGGAGATCCCGGGCTACAGGGCTGTAAAGGCCTTCCCCTCCACTACTCGCCATGTACAAAATGCCAGAAGGGAACATGCAGCGTGCCTCTCACCCCTCTCCAGATTACCTCAGCTAAGGGACAATGTCCCACAACAATAGCTGGCATTACTGCCTAGGTGTGTGAGCTCGTCTTCATGGGTTCCCAAAAGCGCTGTTTCTCCCCGCTCATGAAGTTCAGAGACTCAAGGAGATAGCCATTTCAGTTGATGGTTTCTGGAAAGTGCTTAAGGTTCCGTGAAACTGTTTCTGTACTTCACTACTCTGTAAAAGGCATGTCATTCCAGTTGCTACCAGTGGTTCAGAAAATGGTACCGTTATAAATTGATGGAGAGGCCAGAGAGATGGCTCAGCATGTTAGATCACAGACTGAGCCATACAGAAGACCAGAGTTCAGTGCCCATCACCCACATCAGGCAGCTCACAAACAATCTGTAACTCCAGCTGCAGGGAAGCTGTGTCCCTTTTCTGGACCCCACAGACATCAGTGCACACACGCACACACACACACACACACACACACACACACACACACACACACACACACCCGAACTCCCCCTAACTGAGTGGTTTTCACTTGCTTTGGCAGGAAAGCCCATTGTACACAATTGTTAGTTGAGGCCTAAAATCCAAAATAATTATTGTAAATGTTCTTCTAAAAATTGAAAAACAACCAGGTGGTGGTGGCACATGCCTTTAATCTCAGCACTCGGGAGGCAGAGGCAAGTGGGTCTCTGTGACTTCCAGGGTTACAGAGTGAACCAGGACAGCCAGGACTGTTATATAGAGCAACCTTGGCTCAGAAAACCAAAAAGAAAAGGAAATTGAAAACCATGCACACACATACTGGAAAGTGCATGTCCCAAGGAGAGCTGCAGACCTTAAGAAGCCTTGGTTATCATCTGTCCGTCTGTCTGTTTCCCCTGCCCCCAGCGCAGTGCTGAGGTCATCCCTGCAAGGACAGGTGGTTGCTCTAAGTGGAAGCCTTCCTTCTCAGCAGCTCAGCAGGAAGTCTCAAGGCGCGTGCAGATATGACAGGTGCTCACACATAAAGCGGCTGAGTCACTGACAGCGACTCCTGTTCTTTATGGGGGAAAAAAGTATGGAACTGGAGAGATGGCTCCGCAGTTAAGAGTGCTTGGTGGCCTTGCTGGGCTCCCAGCACCCCTGACTGCTCACAACCATCTGCAACTCCAGTTCCAGGGGATCCAACACCCTCCGCAAACACCAGGCATCCGTGTGGTTACAAGGGCGTGCAGGCAAAACACCCATACACATAAAATAAATCTCAACAATTATACAAGAAGCTCCCAAACATAAAGAAACTGCAAGTATGGGAATATATGCTGACCTGATTCATTAGCCATCTGAAGGACCATACCAGCAGTGTGCTCTGAAGTCCACATCTAAGCCACACCCTTCTTGAGGGTCCTTGTCAGTGGCACATGAGCTCCGTCCTTGACAACAGGACTTGAATTAACTTCTTACTGATGTATTTATGAGAAGTTCAGAATTCTTGGACAGGAAGCAAAAGAAACTTAGACCTGAGAGCCCCACAAAAAGCAGGCTCCGTGTGTCAAGAGTTGGCTTGAGAATGGTGTGATGGTGTGCATTAAGTCTTCAAAATTACTGTGCATCAGATATCTGGGAGACCCCCAGAACCTCTCTTGAAGAGCCCTAGGGTTCAAAAGAAGTTTGGAAGCCATGGTTTAGTCCACCTCCTGACTCTAGGCAGATCTTTGCACGCCCCCTATCCCTGATGGTACCCACCCCAACCATAATGCATTTGTGTTTTCAAATACCGTCTTTTCCTTTTTCTTATACTTGACACTCCACTCCCAAGACTGGTCTAGGGTCAGTTCCCAGTGGCGTTGTCCCTTCCTGACAGAGAGCGTCTTGGAGACTGAGTTACGCTGTAGCTGTACCTTTCTCTGAATGCTCGCTCATTCCATTCCATTTGGCCTTCTCGTTTACCTGGCTAAGCAAGAAACACAGCAGCTTCTGGCATCGCTACTCAACTTCCTCCCTGAGCTATATGAAGCTGGCCAGAACCTGCCATCCTGTCTCATGTGGTGATTTCAAGCCTCCCTTGCTGTCAAAGGGGTCACTCTTTGTTAGCCAAAATGCCCTTCATAGAAGAGACTGGTCTGGAGTTGTCGCCAGGTGTCTGTATTTGTCAAAGACTTCTAAATATACAGGCTGCAGGGATTAGCTCCAAAGCCCTAGAGGCTAGGGAAATGCTGAAACTTGTGGGCTTCTTGTCCTGGAATCTGAAGGGAGCTTCTCTGTTTCTAGAACTCTGACTTGAGGGTAGAGCCACTGGACTGCCCTCGAGCACAAGCTGGAAAGCCAATGGGGGCACTCAGCTTTCAGACATAGCCATCCTTTTAAAGGAAAAGGCTGTGGCCGCTTGGGTCAGCACCCAGATTGTGAGGTTAGAGAGAGGCAGATGTTTTGGTGTGCTCCCGGCCCTAAAAACTGCCAGGCCCCCTCTTTGCACTGTAGGCACGTTAAGACAGGACACTGCTGAACAGGATGGCCTGTAGCCAGCAGCCTCAGCATGGAGGGTGGAGATTCTGCCAGTGTGCCAGCTCTCTGAAGATGGGGGACCTAAACCTCAGAAGACGGGGGATCTTCATCTCAAGCCCAGTCCGTGAAGGAAAGTGTGCTTGTCACTAAGGAAGTCACTTGCAAGTCCCTTGGTTCCCAGAGCTTTCTTTTTTTCTTTTCTTCCCTCCTCCCTTAATATTTACATCTTGAAAGCCTTAGCTTGGAATCTTTAATATTCAGAAACTAAGTAAGAGGATAGCCCTGGTCTGCCCTTAAAACTCTTTTAAAACTTAGGTAATGTTGCCCTCTAACAGGGTTGGAGTTTCCAGCAAAGCCAAATCCCATCCTTGCTGAGTCGGGGTGTAAACAGGAAACTCGCTGGTGTTGGTTGGTGACTCCATCCATAGTGGTGTTTGGTTCAGCCCCTCCCCTTACCATGAGCTACAGAAATGGCCTGTGTGTGTGCATGCCATGCTTCACAGACATGCATGCTTTCCGGCTGCTCCACTGGTCACTCTCATGATATTTCTGCCTGTTTTGTATGTGTCGTGCCTTTGGTAGCTTTGGGGTCGGGGTGACAGCAGGGTCATCTTATCCAATAACTCTGTCTTCACCACTTCCTTGTTGTAGACTATTGGGGAGAGTCTTATTACAGTGGCCTCATCGACTTGCACCTGGGCGGTATGTATAGCATCGTCCACTGCTGGCACTAACCCCCGAGATGCCCTTCCCTCTTGTTCTCTATCCCAGTCCCTGCTCACAGCAGTGAGGAGAAACCAACCTGATAACCAAATAGCAAAGCACAAACCCTTTTCCAGGCTCAGTGTCAGAGCGCTTGCCTAGTGTGCACCAAAGCCCTGGGCTCCATCTCCAGCAGAACCAAAAAAGCAGCAGCTGTCCGGTCTTTTTTTCCATATGTGCCACAGAGGAAGGCTCAAGATAGCTCCTGCTACTTGAGGTTTTTCTAAATTTTATGTAAAACAAACAAAACCTACACCTGCCCTGCTCCACCCGCCCTGCATCTGCATCCGGGTCCCTTTCGTGGTCTGCTGTTGGGCAGCAGTTCATTCACTCTCAAGTTCCGACTTTCACATCTCGCTGGGATGCTCACCGCCAGCGAGCAGCTCTTCCCACTTCCCATGCAATCGAGGGCCAGGGCATAAGTCAGTGATAGGGCATTTGCCTGACATGCCCAGGATTCCATCCCCAGCACTTACAGATAAAATATGTCTCAGAAATTTTAAATAGTGAACTCAGCTTCAGTCATTTTCATTTGGAGTGTGTCACATAGTCCCTGGAGCATGGTGAAGGCTTTATGTGCTGTCTCTGCTCAGATTCACAAGTTAAGTCCATTGTGTACCTTCCTCACCATGCTTTGGGGCTCAGTCCATGCTGATCCACTGACTGCTTTGGACTTATTAGACGTGCAGATCCCCAGACTCCAGCCCACACCTGAGTCAGAAACTCCACAAGGAGGCCTGGAACTTCCCAACTGGTTCTGATCCCTGCAAAGCAGGGGAACCCTGGCCACATGGGGCTGAGTGTTTGTCATCCTGAACAAAACTCAGCAGAGAAATGGCAGCTCTGAGCCGGTTCCTCCTAGAAGGCTGCCATGTTGCAAGATGAGTGAGTGTCCAGCCACTGGTTGTCTGGTATAACAGGGCACCGGCAGCTCTCCTTTTCTTGGTCAGACAGTCTGCCCTTGGGGTTTCCAAGCCTCCTGAAAACAAGGGCAGGGGAATAAAAAAATAATTGTTCCCACCCTTCCCCATGAGAGAGACACTTCCTGGCTCATTCATTTAAAAGCCATAGTATGGTGCCAGCAAGATGACTTATCAGGTATGGGTGTTTGCTTCCAAGCCTGACAAGCTGGGTCCAATTCCCAAGACCCAAGGTGCAAAGGAGCCAGCTCTCACAAGCTGTCCTCTCATGTCCATACACTTGCCATGACACACATGTCCTCCAGCAACATGCACAGACAAAATAAGTACATATTTCTTAAAAGTCAGGCCAGGCTAGGTATAGTGGCACAGACCTTTAATCCCAGCACTTAAACACAGATGGCAGAGGCAGGTGGATCTCTTAATTTCCAGGCCAGCCTGATCTACATAGCAAGTTCCAAGCCAGCCAGAACTACATAGTAAAACCCTGTCTCGAAAAAGTAAAGTCAGGCCATGAATTCACACCTTTAGTCCCAGCACTCAGGAGGCAGAGGCAGGTGGAGCGCTATGAGTTAAAAGCCAACTTCGTCTACATGGTGAGTTCCAGGCCAGCCATAGCTACACAGTGCAACTCTGTGTGCAGTAGGTCATGCCTGCAATCTTTGCAATGGGGAACCTAAGGCAGGAGCATTGACATGAGTCTGAAATCAGCCTAAGCTAATAGAAGACTATCCCAAAAAAATCCCCAAAACAAAAATCATATAGACATAAAAACCAAAGATAGGAAATGTCAGTCATCTCAGTCAGTGCCTGTTGTGCAAGCATGAATACTTGAGTTCCATTCCCCAGTACCCACATTAAAAAAAAAAAAAAGCCAGGCGTGGTGATGTACTTGTAATCCCAGTGCTGAGAAAGCAGAAACAAGAGCGCTCCTGAAGCTTGCTGTCCAGGTTCAGTAAGAGATCCCGTCTCAAAAATCAGATGGTGGGCTGGTCTTTGGTTAAAGGTACGTCCTGCTTGGCCTAATGAGCTGAGTCTCTGGAGCCCACATGATAGAGAAGAACCAAGACCTGCAGGTTGTCCATTTTTGCAGTGGCATGTTCATGCCACCCTCGCACCATAAATTCATTAATTAATATGGGGCTGCAGAGATAGCATGGTAGTTGAGAGCACTGGCTACTCATCCAGAGGACCAGAGTTCAATTCCCAGCACCCATGGAAGGCAGCTCACAGCCTCCTGTAGCCCCAGCAATAGGGGCTCTGGCAGTCTCTTCTGGCCCTCTGTGGGGACCTATACACACATGCACAGACAGGCACACATACACATAAATAAAAGTGAACAAAATTTTAAAAACTAAGCATAGTAGTAAAAACATTTAAATAAAGTGGTGATTGAGGACCTCGTTTCCTGTCAACCTCTCGCCTCCATACTCCCACATGTACACATACAATACACACGTCAATAAAAGCCAGGCCTCGGGGTGTACATGTGTACACATAGGCAGCATGTACACAAATGTGAGTAAAATTAACCCAGAGCCAGGTAGAGCGCTTGCCCAGCCTGTGCCCACAAGCATCTTCACTGGTCAGAAGGTAGGACCCTTGGCTCCTGTGTCCATGGCATGAATCCCCAGTCTTATGCTTCCAGGAGTCTACAGGCCCCTTTCAGTGCCCCCAGCTTCTGGAATGTTGGGGGGCTCCCACCCATGGTCACTGATGCTGAAAAAGGGCTATGCTTGCACCCCAGTTAACAGACTCCGTCTTGTCTAATACCCTGTCTCTCCTCCTTGCCTCCTCCTAACAGTTCCCTAAGGGATGTTCGTGTCAATTTTGAGGTCATCTCCGTGTGAAGAGATAATTTATGTTCAGGGCATTGTGGAGGGAGTGGTCCAGGCCCACTTCTTGCCATATAACCCACCCCTCCCGCTTGAGATGCTGGCTTCTCAGCATAGACTGTCTTTGTGTATGTCTTGAATGTTGTCTTTATCTCACTGCACAGGTAAGGAAATGCAGTGGGCTGTTTTCTGTGGCCCCAGGCCTTGGATTTAGTGTGCCGGGAGTTTCTGGAATGAAATAAGCAGGATAAAAGTGGCTCAGTTTGTCTCTGCGGTTTTAAGACCCCCTTCCCCCTGCCAGACACCATGCTGCATCTGCTGCACACTGCAGAGCCTCAAGCCCATGGCACCAGCGCCGTAGGGGCTCTGATCACATGTAGGCAGGCACGACTGCCCAATGAAGAAGATACACTCCTCTGAAGGGAGGCACTCGTGTACTCCGGGACAGCAAGGGTCAGCAGAGCCTCTCCAGAGAGGAAGGCAGAGATGCCACAGTTGACCCTGTTCAGAGTCTGCTGGACTTTTCCCTTTGGGCACAAATATTCTTTATTTGAGGAGTGATGCCCTTCTGAAGTCTGGGTCTTGGAGTAGAGAAGGTGACTGGCCTTTACCCCTGCTTCCATATAAGGCCACAGCAAAATGCATGTGTGGACCATAGCATCCATTGTACTGGAAACTGCTCTCAGCAGCACTTGGAACTCCATCCCTTACCTGAGAAGGCAGGTCCTTGATTCCTGCCCTGTGCTGGACCTGCTTACCACGGTGCCCCAGTGGGGTCCCTCATAGCTCTTAGCCTGCCACACACAGGCCGGAGACCCACATGAAAAGTCTGCCAGGCACACCCGTTATCCCAGCGTTTAAAAGGCCGAGGTGGGACAATTGCACATCAACAATCCCCTCCCCCGCTGTTTGTTTTTTAAGCCAATTTTGGGGCTGGGGATATGGCCCAGAGGCCAGAGTCCAATGCACAATGAAAAAGAAAAGGTCTCTTATAGCCAACGAGGTAAACAGTTTACTTCCTTAACTAGCTGGACCTGGCATTTTGTCATTAAAGTGACAAATAGTGACCTTTGAGCCAGAGAGGAAAGGTCCCCACCGAGTCTTGTTGCACTGGAGCAAGATAACTAGAAATCTGAAGACAACCAAGTCTTCTGAAAAGCCTAGATTAAAAATACACATGGTGACACACGCCCTTAATCCCATCCCTGGAGAGACAGAGACAAACAGGTCTCTGAGTTCGAGGCCAGCCTGGTCTACAGATTGAGTTCCAGGACAGCCAGGACTGCACAGAGAAACCCTGTCACAGAAAACAAAATGAAAACACACATGAAACTTCTAGTTTTACAGACCCTTACTTCTCAGTTTGTCTTGAGGTAAATGAAAGGCTTGGGAACGTGGCATGAAGGACTGGGAAGGGATCCCATCGGTGGTTGCCATCGAGTTAGAGAGAGGCCTGTTGGTCCCCTCCTCAGTGACTTTCTCCATTTATTTCCTTTCATTGGGCGTTGATAGGTTTCTGCCTTTCTGGTCAAGCTGAACGTTCAGCCTGGCTCAGTTTTCACTTGGTACTCTGAAGTGTGTGTGCACACACACACACATGCACATGTATGCGTTCATGCATGTGAACTCGGGTGCACACTCACATCCACGTGAATCTCACTTCTCACGTGTGTTTACCTTACCTCACCAGCAGCTCTCCCGTCTAGAGATTCAGTCTGCACTGAGTTCTTTAGTACAAGGCATCTCCTGGCCCTGTCACATGTATGTATGTCTTCTGTGTATGTACATACATTCTGTGCCGCTAGCTAGCAGCCTCATGCTGTCTGGTGCTTACGTCCTGAAGCATGCCATCAGCCAACTGGATCCCTGACCAGAGCCTCAGTGTTCGTAATTACGGTGGTTGGGGATGAACCCCAGCTTGCCATGCAAAGCCTTGCCTATGCATGGTACTGGAAGGCACTAGTTGACCAAATAGACTTGAGGTTGGGGAGTAAGAACAGCTGGGCCTAATGACAATTTACAAAGATTTTGCCAGTTTTATAAGTGACAGAATTAAACATAAATAAGAACCCCATTCTTTATACCCAACCCACCAAGGACTGGTCCTAGGAGAATGTTACTCAATGACAGATCACTGGCATCAGGAGGCCCTTAGTTCTGTCCCCAGCAACAACAACAAAAAGAAGCCAGTCGCATACCTGTAATGCCAGCACCATTGAGAGTTTAGGTCAATCTTGGCTACGTAAGACCCTGTCTTGAGGAAGGGGGAGAGGAAAGGAGGCTTGAGACATAAGCCAGGTGTTAGGATGCTTGCACAAGATTCTGGGGTTGGTCCCCAGCACTGCATGAATGGATCGTGGTGCTATGCACCTAATCTCCACACTTAGGTGGAGACAGGAAGATCAAAAGTTCACCATCAGCCTTAGTTGCATAGGAAGTGCCACATGGGACTCCCTGGTAATCAGCCTGTAGGCATTGAGTCGATGCTGGGTCACTTAGCAATCAAGGTACCACATTGCTTTGCAATGAGTGAGTAGCCAGAGTCCACCCCAGACCAGGCAAGGGTGGCGCAGAGCAGGCTGGAATCCTGGTGACAGAAGATCACAGCATACTTCTCCCTGCTCCTGACGCCTCCAGAGGCCACCAGAAGTGCCTCGTGGTACATAGAGGGTTTCCTTGGAGCTTAGCTGGGAAAGGGTACTCTGTGCCTAGGCATCCCCGTGTTTGTGGATGAAATTTGCTGCGTGATGCCCACGCCCATCCTGTGGAAGGACTGTGATTGACATTTGAAGGTGGGATTTTAGACTCCGCACTCTGACATGGACAGTGCCTGGCTCATAAAAAGCCCTTTTTCTCACAGTATCTCTGGCCAGTATGGAGCTGGTGTGTCTGAAATGTGACAGGCTAGGACATCTGGGGTCTGCCTGTCAAGGGCTCTCCAGTTTGAAGCCTATGGTAGTGTTCCTCTCTCTCAGGCACAGGAACCTAGGGGGTGTCCAAGATGGATACAGAGGTGAGGCCTGCCCCCAGATGGTCTCTCAGCTCCAAACCAGATCCCTGGCAATCCCTTCCTTTTTATCCAATCAGAAATGTTTTCCTGGTAGGGGAGTTGGGGGCATCTTTAATGCCAGGACTCAGAAGGCACAGGCAGGTGGATCTCTGAGTTTGAGGCCAGCCTAATCTATAAAGTGAGTTCCAGGACCACCAGAAACCCTGTCTAAAAATAAAAGGAAAGAAATGCTTTCCTACTTTGGATTTTAAAGAAACTAGAGCTAACCTAAATAGTGGCCAGCACAGGGCTAGGCACTAGAGCAATACTTAGTAAATGTTTCTTTGGAGTTTTGTTTTGAGGTAAATTGTCTTGTAACCCAGGCTGTCCCCATGCTCGCTGTGTAGTCAACGATCTTCCTGTCTGTGCCTCCCAGGTGTTGAGTTACTGCATGTGCCACCATGCCCAGGTAGTAATTTCTCCCATAAATTATTCTCACTTTGTCCTTAAAATAAGCCCATGGTCCTCTTGGGTACTTCTAGTTCCTTCTGGAATTAGCAACTTTGTAGATGGGGAGTTGAATGTAACCAGGCAAGATTGAATGGCTGGATTAGAAGTGGGGAACCTCGAGCCATCTCCCCTCACAGCCCTTGATGTTCCTGAGGGGTCTGAGCTGTGTAGAACTGGTCTACCTCTTAGCTCCTCCATGGTTAGCACTTGCTTTCATGTAAAGGGAACATTAACCCCTCTCTGCCCCAGCCTTGCGTTAGGGCTCTTCGTATTTTGAACAATAAGAAGACTGAAGTGTGTGTGTTTCATCTAAGTCTCATTGAACACCTGAGCTCAGTGTCTTGCAGATTGATAACTCAGTAGTAGAGCACTTGCCTAGCATGCTTGAGGCCCTTGATTCATCCCCCCAGCACCCTAGAAAAAGGCAGGGAAGAAGGAAAAGATCCAACAAACCAGATCATTCGTTTCTCACATTTCCATACAAGGCAAAGAAATTGCTGTCAAAATCATTGGTGGAGCCAGGCAGTGGTGATGCACGACTTTAATGCCAGCACTTGGGAGGCAGAGGCAGGCGGATCTCTGCGCTTGAGGCCAGTCTGGTCTACAGAGTGAGTTCCAGGACAGGCTCCAAAGCTACAGAGAAACCCTGTCTCGAAAAACAAACAAAACAGTCATTGATTGCCCTTGTGCTATGCTTGCCTGGTTGGTTCTCGTTTGGAATGGAATTCCCCATTTGATTAGTTTTTCTGTTCCATTTCTTCTTTTTAAAATAGTATCTATTAGGTGGTTTTTGTTTTGGTTTTTTGTAATTGTGAGTGATATGTATTCACCATGGACATGTTGGAGGCTACAAAGCAACTCATGTGGCTCGGACCCATCAGAACATGTCCTTGCTCTTGCCTGTTGTCTGGCAATGCCTTTTTCTCCTTTGTTTTAAATACCGCTTCACCCGATGCTGTCCCTTTCTAATTTTTTTTAAACTTCTGTTCTCAATATTCTGTTATCTCAATGTTCCATATTGTAAAGGTTATATGAGGAATGTGATCAAGATAAAAGGACCTAGGATTTATTGTGTGATGTCCAGAAAGTAGTATATTTAGGTCTATTTATGCATTTTAACCTGTGTGTGTGTCCGTGCATGTGTGTGTGCGCGCGCGCACACATACATACATTCATGCAAAGACCATGGCTGATTTTGATGTGCATTGCTCACATATTGTTACTATCCCTTGCTAATGAGTATGGATGCTGCTACACTGTTCTAGCTATACCTAGAGCCAGGAAGTGGCAGAGAGTTGATGTGGTACTCACAGGATTCATTCAGGTATCTGAGCCCCGCATAGACTTTGTCTTCCAAGCCAGGCGGGCTGAGAGAGTCCGCTATGGCAGAGCACATGTTTGGAAAAGATGCAGGCATCAGCTCATCATGGCTGTGCCTGCTGAGCTGAGATGAAAGCACTTCACACACTGTCTGTGGCTTCGGTTTACTATGTACAAAAAAAAGTGCTTAGTAGGACATGAAAGGCTTTAAAGGAACACGAAGTTGTGGTCTCTGCATTTAAAGCACTGAAATGTAGAATGTCTGGTCCAACAGGAGCTTGATGCTTCAGCCCCCTGTGAACCTGAGCCCTCTTCTCGCCGTAGGCCACTCCCTCTCAGTGTCCCCATGGCCCAGAGGCCTTATCTTCCTAGGGCTTCCTGTGTCCTGTGTGTGCTCCCGTCCGTGGTTCTGTGATGGTCCCTTGCTCAACTCCTCTCACTCTCCCTTGAATGGTGATCAGGTCTCCCCAAGGTCTGTAGATCTCTCTGCACACTGTCTCTACTCAGTTACCCATCACTGCCCTTACCAGTGGTGTTACTGTGAGTCGTTGACTTGTCTTGCCAGCTTACCCCCTTTTGGTCTTACTGTCCACAGTGTGACACCATCCCTCAGCTGTGGCATCGCCCAAAGGCGGGCGAGCCGAAAGAAAATGTGGTGGTTGGTTTCCATAGCCTGTGGGAGGGATTGCTACAGGCAATTAGAAGTCACTTCTGTGTAGTCATAGTTTTCCCCTAACTTGGCTGGTTCAGAATGCAAAGCAATGCATCTCTTAACCCTTCAGGACCATGACAAGAGTAAGATGCCACTTGTGCAGACTCAGAGTTCCTTTCTGTGGCCATGATGGCCAAGGGCAACAGACCCTGTTATAGAAAAGTTAGCTTAACCTCAAGCACACATGTCAGTGATGATATCTGAAAATCATTTTATGTAGATTTTGTTGGTCACTCCAGTTCCCTCCTGCACACCCAGAAGCAGCATTGGCTGCATATTTAGAGAGTCTGTTGCATGGAGGTGAACCTACCCAAGGCTTCTGGGTCCTGTATGGAAGCTGCCCAGGGCCACCCTATGATAATGCTCCAATGTCACTACATGCCCTCGTCAGCCACTGCTGTGTGCAGCCTGGGCCTGTTCTTGTTCAAGTTCTGTGCTGAAAAGGGACTAAATTCATTTGTAGACCTTGTTTCCCCTGTTTCTGCTTCTCCATTCTTGTGGATTTTTTTCTTTTCTTCCTGTTGTTCCTTTCTCACTTTTTCTGTTTTTTGTCCTCTGCTTGTTTTTATTTCGCCCTCTCCCTGTCCCTCTCCACCTCCAAATTCCTCTCCTCCTTTCCCTCTTCCTCTTTTGTCTTTCTCTGTTTTTCTCTGCCTTGTTTGGTCCTTTTGAAGTTGAGCCCAGTGGCGGGACTCCACGGCGTAGACCTCTCTCCTTCTGCCCTTGCTGTGCCCAGGAAGGTAACGTAACCTCGCCCGCTCGTCCCCACTGCCTTCGAGGGGCCGCAGCCACCATAGTCCAACAGGGAGCCAAGGCCCAGCAGTTGCTCCTCTCTCTGACTCCAGAATGTCATGAGTATGTGGCAGTTTCTTACAAGGCACAGTATCCCTTTGACTATCTAAGGGAGGATGGGAACCGTGGGAAGCTAGAGAGCCTATGGGCTCCAGTATCTACAGGCTGCAATTCTCCTGCAGCTCTGCCTACCACTGGGCCTTGGGGCCTTGGGGCCTCGGGGCCAGTAAGCTCAAGGGCAGCATACAGAGGGCCAAGAACAGGGGAGGACACCCCCGAGGCAGCAGTTTGCATTGGCAGAGTCAAGGAATACTGTCCTTACAAAGACTGGTCTACACAAATGCCCCCCAAGTTTTGTTGTTTTCTCCCAGATCAACCACTGAAAACAAACTTCTACCTTGTGTCTTGCTGAGTGTGTCTTGTTTTGTTTTAAGTTTGTCTGATTTGAAGTCTGTTGTGGTGATAAGATTGCCATTGGCAAGGCATGTGGGCAGGGGGAAGGGGTGTGTGGCCATGACTAACCCTGCTAACCTCTTCTCTGCTCTCCATGGCTCTCACATGTGACTACCCACCCCACCACATCCCCTTGCTCATGGGCTGTGACTGAGCTCCAACATGGCTCATGAGCAGTGTCCCAGTGTCGCCCCCCCCCCCGTAGAATTTCAGGGTCTTTACATGCTGGGAGGTGGGAAGGCGGGACGGACTTGGTACGCTCGTAGCTTGCCACTCTGGACAGCCTGCATGCCTCAGGGCTTCGTCTCCATGGCCACATGGGCACACTGTGCAGAGACGCTCCAGAAGGAATGCGTGGAACTGGCCTGCAGGCTGCTTTGAAGCCAAAGACCCAAGTCTATTGGAACGGGGAAGGAGAGCTTGGGCCCAGACCTGTAGGCAGGCTCGACAGGCCAGGATGGAGGTGAACTCAGGGCCCCCACATCAGAAGCAGGGGTGCACATGTGCTTGGCACGGTCCGGTACTAGCCCTTGCATGTGGTCACTGGCTAAAGACGAGGCTTAGGCCTGGCATGTGTCCCGCATACAGTGAAGGAGCTTGGCCTTTGACTGGTGTGAAAGAGTTGGGGAGAAGCAGGCTACAGCAAGCGAGGGTCTGACGTGGGCACGGCGCCTACCTGAGGATGCTGTCCGCACTCTTGGGTTAGGGCGCTTCTCGGGGCTGGACCATCTGACCAAGTAAGTCAGATAGGGACTGAAGGGGGCTCCAGTCTGACAGACAGACACTTCTTAACTTAAGGTCTGTGAATGAACTTCAGGAAGCCCCTGAACACCCTGAGTTCTGTATAAAATTACTCGATGTTCGGATGGGAGTGTAGCTCAGTGGTGGGGTTCTCTGTGTTGCATTCCCCAGCACACAAAAATAACAGTAAAGAAAGTTTATGTCCATATGGGCAAGGAACCACTGATACCGTGTGCTTCCAAGGCAAGGTCACTAGAGCACTGAGCAGCTTTGTTAATTCCTGGGTGATTTGATTCCTTAGAGAGTCCTTCCTTCCAGCTCCTGCTACAGTTAAACCCAGGGGCGTGACTACTCCCCATGGAGATGCAGTGTTAGTCAAACATTGATTCAGGGCAGCTCAAGTCCATAGAGCAGGAACCTTCCTCAGCTCTGGGGTCTGCTGGTGAGGAATCTGTCAGCCATCTTTTTGCCTTTTGTCTCCCTTGCAGATTCTGCTGCAGTGTGTGTTTGTTGGGTTGCATGCTAAGAAGGGATATTTCAGGGCAGGGGGTGTGGCTCAGTGGTAGAGTAGTTGCCTGGTATGCATAGGTCTAGGTGAATACACAACGAAACAAAAACATGGTATCTTCCTGGTCTGACTGGGAGTCAGTAAAGTGTCAGGGGCCCCCGAAAGAGACAGCTGCCCAGGAAAAAAACAGAGTTAACAGAAAGTAACTTAAGAGCAAGGTGTAGAACTGGGTGTGGTGGGACACATACCTGTAATATGAGAATGCGTGGGGATGGAGACCCAAGGTCAGCCGGGGATGTATGAAACGTTATCTTAAGGCAAGGTGTAGTTTGTAAGTTTATACTCCTCCTGATTAGTAGAGTGCTTTTCTCCAAAGAGACCCAGTAGCAAGAAAAGGGCACGCCATTTCATACACACGCACGTTTGCCTCACTGAGCAGAGCAGAGTTCAGCGTGTACGGAAGGAACAGTCACCCAGAACAAGGCCTGGGCAGGACCGATGGAAAGTCTAGGTCTGTCAGGCCCTGGGGTGGACACGATGCAGTGGCCTGTCGTTCTCTGTCCCCTTCTCCCTGGCAGGGCTGTAGGCAAACTTTGGACCTGGCTTGGGTCTGTTCCGGCAGCATCTTGCTTGGCTCTTTGCACATTTGCCCCGGTGTGAGAATCCTTCTGGGCTGGGCAAACAGAGACCATCACCTTGTCTGACCCTCAGTCTCCCACACAGGCATGGGCAAAAAGGATGACCCCAAGCTGATGCAGGAGTGGTTCAAGCTGGTGCAGGAGAAAAATGCCATGGTGCGCTACGAATCGGAGCTGATGATTTTGTGAGTAAACTGGGATTTGGGGACCAGCTCCAGGGGTTGCCAGTGTTTGATGCATCCCAGCAGGCCCAGCTGTCCTACTTTGGCAGGATAAGAGGACTGGTCCCAAGTCGTTGATGCTGTCTCTCCCTGTCTCAGTGCCCGGGAGCTGGAGCTCGAAGACCGCCAGAGCCGGCTGCAGCAGGAGCTGCGGGAGCGCATGGCCGTGGAAGGTAAACAGAGGGCAAGTGGGTGGGAAGATGAAGCGGGCCTATCCCAGGCCACACACCTGATGCCTTCGGTCACTCGGCAGATCACCTGAAGACCGAGGAGGAGCTGTCAGAGGAAAAGAAGATCCTAAACGAGATGTTGGAGGTGGTGGAGCAGAGAGACTCGCTGGTGGCCCTGCTGGAAGAGCAGCGACTGCGGGAGAAAGAGGAGGACAAGGACCTGGAGGCTGCTATGCTGTGCAAGGGCTTCAGCCTGGACTGGTCCTGAGCCTGACTACCACTGTGTTTGGTAGATTGGCACCCGCCTGACCCGGCTGCGTTATCCCAAACCAGCGGATCCAGGTTCAGAAGAGGCCTGGCATCCCTGGAGGGTAGCACACAGACACCCTGTGCTATGGGAAAACCCCAGGCAAGGGCTATCATCTGAGGTGACTCCACCTCCTAGGAAAGGCCCGCTCAGGAGGGAGGAGATGGGTGTGCTTGATGTGTGCCTCGGGGGAAATGCCTGCAGGCCCCTGAGGGCAGGTCCTTGGCACCTCTTCCTTCCTTCTGCTGGTAAGAGAGGGGAGTGGCCCCTCTTCAGAGCCACTGCCACCACAGAGAACCTGAAGAGCAGAACAGCCGTTGTCCTCATGCTCCCTGAAGTACCACCAAAGAGAGTACATCTACAGAAAGGGCTGTGGATGGAGGGGATCCAGCAAGGAGCCGCACCCTGGGCGTGATGCCCACCCTCCCATTGCAGGAGAAGCCAGACAGTAGGCAGGTTCGTTATGCAAGTTAGGAGGGCGCAGCAGGGTTCTGTCCCCAGCCCCACCACACACTGGATTCCCAGTGGCCAAGTGTCCCAGGCCTGTCACCCTGGCAGTGGCCTGAGGCCCATGGATTGCTGTGTTTTGCTTTTAGTTCACAACCATTTTGACACTGGAAAGTATTGACTTCGGGAGAGCTGAGGGAGGCCCTACATGTCAGCCTCCCCTCCCCACACTGACAGACAGGCACCATCCCTGGCCAGCACCAGCATCAATACAGGAGATGGCCCTCCTTGGCATTGCCCTGTGTTTGCACATTTGAAAGGAAATCTGGCCAGACACTCAGCCACTTCGGACCCTTTTTGTCAATTAACTTATTTTTTTAATACTTGAAAGTAAGCAACTTCATTTTTATACCTTTACTAGAGACACTGATTGCCTGTCACCTGCGTGTAGGAGTGACCGGGAGGTCTCTGCCCATCCCATGCAGCCTGATGCAAAACCGACCTGATTCTTGTTACATGCATCTATTTATTAGCCTTCTTAATAGTGTTACTGACCTGGTTGGCACCAGGGAGCAGCTCAAAGCCCTGTGGGTCCTTGTCACAGCTGTTCTGTCCCTTTCTCCACCCAGCACCCTGTCCCTGCTGGCACTGGACTCCTACGGGAGAGCTGCCTCTCTATGAAAGCAGGCCTGGAGACAGACAGGCTGCTGTGGGCTGTGCTCTTGGGATCACGGCTCTGTGGAACCACTTCGTCCAGTTTTGCTGCCAAGGTTTTACCTCCTGTACATACGTTAAAGGTTGAGGGTAGCCCCTCTTTACTCTTGCTGGGACCAAGTCGAGTGTGACCTTGTCCTCAGGCTGACTGATGACAGTGCCCCAGCAAGACAGGAGTGTGTGTGTGTGTGTGTGTGTGTGTGTGTGTGTGTGTGTGTGTGTGTGTGTGTCGGTCTCCCCTCAACACTCTGGCCACTCTGATCTTCCCTGCCTGTGCTAGGATTGTCTTGGCCAGCAAGAGCCAACAAGCAGCACGTAACCAGCTCCATAAACCAAATCGTTCATTTCTCGTGGTTCACCCAGAGATGGCTGATGGCGGCCAGGGTGCTTCTCTTTAAGAACAGCAGCAAGTGGACCAGTGAGTACATTGGTGCCAACCAGCCTGGAGAAGGGCGTGCCAGTTGGGCCTGGCAGGAGGGGCTGGTGCAGGAAACATGCCGTCTCTGGCAGTCCTTCAAGGCTCCTGAGGGCAACACAGCCAAGGGCCCACACTCACCCTGGACTTCCCGTGGGAACCACACTGTGCCTCAACTTGAACATCCATCTAACAACGGAGGAGCAAACAGCTATGTCAGTCTTCGGCGAAAGCTGCCATCTCTCCTGTGGAAGTATAGGTGTGCTGCTGGCCACCACCACAGCCTGATGTCATCGCCTCCTGGTCTGACGTGGCAGTACTGCTGTGTTTATTCTCTGTCTGAGACGGGGAGAGGAGGATGTTCTGGATTCCATTTTTCAACCACAATCTGCCAATCAAACTGGACTTTGGACAGAACCTTTATCGCCTGTGTGACCTTCTCCTTAACCCTGTCCACCTCCCCAGTGCCACTGGCAACCCCAGGGAGCTCAGCCCTGTCATTCCTGCTAACCCAGAAGAAGGAAACCATTTCCAGAGACTCAAGGAGGAGGGAGGGGCATGCTCCTCTAGTGGCCTTGTAAAGCACCAGATGTTCCCTCCCCACCGCTGTCCTGATCAGCCAGAACCTTGATCTTTCCAAAGCACATGCTGCTTCCTGCAGTCACTAGAAAGGGGGCAGAATCCACCAGCCTGGGCCACATCCCCCAGCTCTCCAGCCATGGTAGAGCACTTTTTTCTGGCTCCCACTTTGTAACCACTAGTTTGATTTCAGTGGTTGGGGGACTCGAGACGTGAAGTATTCTCCACCTCTGCAAGAGCAAGCAGCTCTAGCCAGATCTTCTTCCCAAGAATTATGTCTTCACTTGAAGGCAGGGAAGAGAAGGATGTGTATACACTTCAAACACGCGTAAGATGCTAGAGTGCATTTGAATAAGCCCAAACTCAAGGCGAAGTACTGTACGTGAGGCCCCAGCTTCTATCCCTAAAGGGCAGACAGAAAGCAGCCCCCTGCTCCCCAGTAAGAGCTGGGCCAGAACCCCAGGTTCTAACCCTGCTCAGCTGATATCTTTGGGCCTTTCCCCCAGCAGCCATCCTTAAGTTGACCAGCAACTGTAGACTTTAAAAGATAAGACATTTTTCACTGGGACAGGAGAGGAAACGAGTTGGGGAGGGAGCGGTAACATATATCAGGGCATGGGAATATAGCTCAGTGGTAGAATGTGTGCTTAGCATGCATAAGGCCCACGGTTCAATCCCCAGTACCACATAAAAAGAAAAAAAAAAAAAAACCTTTTTGTGAAAGATGGTAACATGACCCACAAGAGGGAATAGTCTGTTTTATGCGCAATAAAGTTTTTTTTTTTTTTTTTTAAAAGAAAGATTGTGTTTGTGAGGGCATTTTTCTTCTCTTATCATTGAGCCAAGACACATTTACGTATGTCTACATAAATCATTCAGCTAGCTTGTGAGTGTATACAGATGGTATTTCAAAGAATACAGCTTTTCGTTTGGCTTGTGGTTTGAGCTCTCTGTGTTAGCCTGACTTAGCCATCTGTAGCTAGTACTTGAGAAATTCTCTGCAGCCCCCTGCTTAATAAGAAGCGCTGGGTAATGCCAAGGAAGCTGGAACCGGCCCCTTAGGACCTGTGTTGCAACAGGGCATAGTGGTACAGACCTTTAATCCCAGCCCTCAGGAGGCAGAGGTAGGAGGATCTCTGTGAGCTCAAGGCCAGTCTGGTCCACATAGCAAGTTCCAGGACTACATGGAGAGACCCTTTCTTAAGAAAGAGGCTGGGGAGAGAGAGAGATAGAGAAAGTTGCTAAAATTCTCAAGGTTCAGTGTGTTCATTGAGCTTCCTTACAGAACTTAGGATACTTACAGGGATGTGCGTGCTCCCTCTCCCGCACAAAAAAACCCCACTGCACCTGGAAAGCAGAGCTGAGGGCTTCTATGTAGTCATATAGATAAAGTCCCCCTCCCCTCGACTTCCCCCACCTATGTAACTGGTCCCTCCCCCAGGCCACATGCAAGTAAGACAGTTGTGTACAGCAGATAGTAGGACACAACTGGGTACTCGACGAGGGCCATGTGACTCTTCCCACCCATCCTCGAAGGCCTGGACCATCAACAGACCTAGCTGGGATGAGCTTTTGCAAGGGGGTGACACTTGAATTCCAAAAGCTGGTGGAGGACAGTTACTTACAATGGCTGGGTTACCAGCTATTCCAGAGAGAAGGCCAGAGCCCGTGCGAAATGGGAAGTGACAAGGAGAGGAGTAAGAAGAACCAGCCCAGGAGGGACCTACTGTGACACCAGACTCCCGAGGGAAGGAAAAGCATGACTTCACGGGCACCTGGGTCCAGCCGTCGTTTTTACCCCAGAGGCTTTCACGTAATAAGACTGAGAAACAGGTGGAATGTGGCCACACTTTACAACAACCCCAGGTAGCAGGAAATGGTACTTTTGGGGAGGCAGTCAGAAACACAGCCCTCCCAAGAAACCACCATACCTGGCCTCAGTCAGCACAGCTGACTTCTATCGGGAATGATGAAGATATCATCAGGGACAGCATCCAGGGTCTGCCACGGCCCTTGGGTATGTGTGTGCCTTCCAGATGTACACTAGAGGTAGTAAGACATATCCATGCAAACTGGGCTCCCCTCTCCACTTGCTGGAGGGTTAGGGAAGGGTGTAGATGTGAAGGCTCAGGGAGAATCCTCCATGTAAGGGGCCTCGGCTCTGGAGAGCGTGTGGTGGGGGCATCTTTTCCGGCAGCCACAGAAGCCCAAGAGCGGTGGGGGCTACCTTCCTCCTGACCCAGGGGAAGGATATGCAAGTCACCACCCTCTGGAAGACCAGGTCCGGAAAGATGTTTCCCTAGGGAGGCCCCCTGCCAGAAGGCCATAGAACACCCTCATAGGGAATTCCATTACATTCTTCCTCTTACGAAATAGATTTGACTGCAAGGTATTATTCATGATTCAGAGATCTAATTTCAGGCTACCTCTGTCTGGTCTCCCAGACAGCATTGTGGCTATGTTATAGAGAAAGACTGTTTCCTAATCCTTTGTAAATAGCCAAACACCTCCCAATAATAAGAGACATCCCTCCGGTATGGACACCTTATGGCCCATACTAGCTACCTAATGGCCTCAAGAGGTCGAGAAAGAAACAAGAAGGACACAGATACAGGGGAAGAAAAAAACCATAAGTGCCACAATTCTTTAAAGTTTATTTGTAATACATTTTGTTTATGTATGGGTATGTGAGTGCACACAGGTGTCAACAGTTGGCCAGAGGGGTCAGAGCCCCTGATGTTGAGGTTACAGGCAATTGTGAGCTGCCTGACTTGGGTGCTGGGAATTTAGTTTGGGTCTTCTGTAAGAACAGTATGTGTTCTTAACCACCGAACCATCTCTCCAGCCCTAAGCACCTCAATTCTTTACATATTTAGAAATGTGGAGTTGACATCCAAAACATTGGAACCTGACTGGAAAATGGTGCTGCACTCAGGTCCATATGCCCTCACACAGACACATACAATTTAAAATAATACAAACAAGGGACAGGAGAGATGGCTCAGTGGTTAAGGACACTCCGTACTCTTGCAGAGGACCTGAGTTCAATCCCCAGCACCCACAAAGCAGCTCAAAACCATCTGTAACTGCAGTTGCAGGGGATCTAACATACTCTCTCTGGCTTCTAAGGTTACCAGGCATGTTCTTGGCAGACATCCATACAGTCAAACACAAAAGTAAAATTTTTAAGTAAAAATCTTTAAGACATTGAAACCATGAAATCCCAGGGGTTAGTTTTCTGGAATATTTAAGACATGCACAGCTTAGTTGGTAGAGTGCTTGTCTATCACAAAGCCCAGCACATCATAAACCCAGGCATGATACCCAAAAGAATCAGAAGTTGAAATTCATCCTTGGGTACATAGCAAATGTGAGCCTGAACAGCATGAGACCCTGTCTGAAGTACGAAGAATGAAGAAACATAGAAACCATCATATGTACACACATGCAAGACTGAAATGTCATCTATCTAACCTTAAGTCACAGCAGCCAATTCGGAGTCCATCAATATCCAGACATCCCTGGCCAGCCTCCAACAACCACATTCCTTACTTTCCCAGACCTTAGGCATCAGCCAGGAGAGAAGTGTCTCCCAACCCCCAGTCTTCAAGGTCATGGTGGAATCTGAAACCTGTGGCTGACCCTTTGCAGACCCCCTGATCCTTCTCCAATCTGTTACCCAACTGAGGCAAGGGACTAGCCCACTCACCATTCTAAGAAATCTCCAAAAACAGACTCAAGACCACAGCAGCCATATAGGACCTATGACCAGAGTCCCCAAGACTAGGACTGCAGCAGCTATGCAGGACATATGGCCAGGGTCTCCAGGACTATACAGTAGCCATGCAGGACATATGACCAGGGTCTCCAGGACTACAGCAGCCATGCAGGACCTATGACCAGGGCCCCCAGGACTACACAGCCATATAGGACCTATGACCAGGGGCCCCAGGACTATAGAAGCCATTCAGGACCTATGACCAGGGTCCCCAGGACTACAGCAGCCATTCAGGACCTATGACCATGGTCCCAAGAAGTTCCCATTACCAATTTTGGACCCTGTCTTCAGCAACAGAGGAGAGCCAGCCTGAGACAGGCTTTTTTATTCTCTGCTTCTCTTGCTGGAAGCTGAAAGATAATAGTGCAGCCATCAAGATGGCTCACCCTTAGCAGGTAAAAGCACTTGCTTTGTAACCCTGTTCAATCCTCAGACCCAAGGTAGGAGGTAAGTTCACCTCTGACCCCTACACATTTGTCCTCACACACCATAAATAAATGCAAATTTAACTATTTAACTCAAAAGACAGTATTTCTTTTTACTTAAACGCTTTTTAAAATTTTTATTTAGCATATATTATATGGGTTTTAGGATCCCATTTTTGAACATATACAATGTATTTAATCGTGGGCCCTAGTTTAAAACTCCTTTTCCTCCAGGTCGACGGAGGCTTCACCCAGGCCCTGCCTCTCCTCTCTTGGGTCTGTTAACGTTGAACCTATGAATCTTCAGGAGGAAAAAAGGTTTGTAGGTCACTTGGCCATGTGATGTGAAGAGCCCTATGATCTGACTTGGCATCCTGCCCAGTCTGGCTGCTGCCCAGCTGACTGATCTTGAACTTGGCTCTCCAGATCTTTGCCTCACAAAGTGGTGGTGGGATAGAAAGGGCCAGTGTATTCTGCCTTCTTCTCAGGCTTCTGAGTCACAGTCACATGCCAGCCTGTCCCTGCTCAGAGCCCAACCCACAGGCTGTCTCTGCTCAGTTTCTTGGAATTCCTGAGGACATGTGGCTCCCAGGGCAGAATGGGAGCGTGAAGAAGGGAGCCAAGGACGGGACTGGATGTGGGGAAGTCCCATACAGGAACAAAGAACACAGGAATAGCATGTCACATCGTACCAATAACAAAAACAAAAAGTGCATAATGGCTCACACCTGTAATACCAATACCGAGGAGGCCAAAGCAGGAGGATGGACATGAGTTCTAGGCCTGCCTGGGTCACAGACTGTGCTCTAGGCCAGCTTAAGCTACAAAGGAAGATCATGCCTTAATATTTGAAATAATCGTGTGGTGGAGGCTCGTGCCTTTAATCTCAGTACTCTGGGACAGACGCAGGTGGATCCCAGTGAGTTCAAAGCCAGCCTGGTCTACAGAGTGAGTTCCAGGACAGCCAGGGCTGCTACAAAGAACAAGCAATACAGCAGATGGTTGGGGCCATGCTCAGATCCACCTTGGGACAAATGCTGGGGGACCTGGCTCTTTGGGAAGGTCACCCCCATTTTTCCACTCCTTCCCCAGGAGTCCGTCTGTGATGTGGCCAGACTAGGAGGGGACATTTATGTGGCTTTAGGAGATTAGCCCTCCAGGCCTCTGGTTTCCCTCCTTCAGCTAAGCATTCTCTCTAGTAACTGTTAGAGCAGATTGGAGAATCCCAAGGGACAGCCAGGGGGTGAAACTTGGGAAATCCCATGGACCTCTCTGACTTACTGGATGTGCTGAGTCACAACAGGGCTCTGCCTGTCTCACCCTCCCACGGCAGAGGACCTGGAGGCCGCTCAGGTCTAAGTCATAGGGACTTTTGGTCCAGGATCTTTCTTCCAGTGACACTGGCCCAGCACCTGAATACTTTCACTGTCCCAGGGAAAAGTCTCATATGGGGATTCAGAGACACAGAGAGGGGTCACTGGGAGTATGGAGTTTATTAAATTAATAAACAGGCCAAGCATTGTATTGCACACCTTTAATCTCAGCACTTGGGAAAGCAGAAGCAGATGGAACTCTTAA